CGAGGCTGCTCGAGCGAGTGAGGCGGACACACACTTCGCGCGTGAGAACGCACGACTTTCTCTCGGCCTTTCCTCTGCTTGCTTGCCCCTTGCCAGTGCCTCTGGACCCTTCATGACGTCTCTCCGCCCTTCTGCGTACTCCTCGAACACGACGCTATGACGATTTCGTCTACTTCACTCTGCAGTGCCAGCTTGCAGACTGTGCAGAGATCGGTCGAATCGATGGACCTCGGCGCTTTCGGCCCAAAGGCTACACACGGAGGAAGGCTACATCTGGTCCCGTTCCGCCGGCTGGCGTGTGGCCCTCGTCTAGGCGCCGGCTGACCCCGCGGGGCAGGCGCCTCTCCCGATCGTGTTCCTTCTTCCCTCACGCGGCGACCTTGCCGTCCTCCGCGCGCCCAATCCAGTCTACACGCCCAATCCAGCTTCGACGCGCGGCCTCACGCGGCCTTCCGCGCGCGGCAATCCACCTCTCCCCGTAACGCGGAGAGGCAGCAATCCTGTGGGAGGGCGTCGGACATGCGGAGGACGCACTGTAGCACTGCAGCAGAGGCAAAAGGCTATCTACGCTTTGCTATTGGGTTCGGGGTGTAGGAGCGGGAGCGGGGCGGGTTCATCTCGGGGTGCAGTACGAGCGGAATGGGGTGAGTTCGTTTCATTCCGGCTGACGGAACGACGGGGCGCTCAAGGTTTGTAGATGCTCAGAGGATGTGCGCGCGCCGATGGCCAGGAAAGGAATGCGCAAGCTACGTCTGGCCATTGCCTGACACGTCTACGAGGTGACGAGCTGGCGCGTCTCCATCTTCGGCGCGCGGAACATCGCCCTCATATCGAACCTGGTCACCGAATGCCCAAAGTCGTATTGACGCTCTAAAATACGTGCGGGGACGCATAGCAGTACTACAAGGGCAGAAGGGCACCTGCATACCGCTCCAAAATTGCTCGGAGGGAGGAGTGGGGCGAGGTTGGTGCATACATCTCGGGGCGTAGGAGCAGGAGCGGGACGGGATAGGGACGTGCGTTTCATTACCGGAACAACTGGGCGCTCATTCGTCCGTAGATCCATAGACGCCCTACACGCACGCAAACGTTTCTACGGCGACTTATATCTTCGGACACCATACATATCCGCCTGCGCCACACGATATCCACTGCTCATTCTTCGTCATGGCCAAAGGACACGCACCATTTCGAGGTGTCGGAGCGTGAATGGTCCACTGCAGCTCAAGGCTACTGCGCAGATCGGGAGGACGTGGCCAGGCGGGGCGATTCGCTATTGCCTCATCGTGCAAAGGTTCCATACCACTACAAGATTATCCGCAGTGAGAGATGGGACAAGCTTGGCTAGGTGTAGGAGCCGGACAGGGTGGATGCAGACGGAACAAATGGGCGCTCATGCTTGTGTAGCAATGATATACGAGCGCGCGCGGTGGGCTGACGCTGATCCTCAGTGTCCTCGCGCGGCGACGTCTCTCGGGGCGGGGATACTTCCAAGCTGGAGTGGGGTCAAACGCGTACGCTCATCGCACGGCGGATCCTTCTCCACCGGCGACGTCTACCTACCCGACATGTGCCAAACCTCTCAAGCATAGCGGGCCGCCTCTTGGACGCATAAGATGTACGGGTCGTCTCAACGCGACTCCGTTCCGCACCATTCCTCTCGAAGCACCTTCAACACGGATCATGAACTCGTACACCGACCCATCTCCGCGTGCACCCACCCTTCGTTGAGACCAAGAGGATACACGCCGCGTATGACCAGCACGGCGAAGTGCCGCAATGTCGACGGTTTGTTACCCGCGTCTACACGCTCGACGGCTGCGGGCTGTTAGATATGAGCTGGACCTCTGAGTCTTCTCGCGCCTCATCGTGCGTGCCTTCCACCATCACAGGCGCGTCGAACTCGAATCTAAGGTCAGGCGCGCTCGATTCGCTCCATCCACACCGTGCACGGCCAGCTTTACCACTCGCTCTACGCGCCGCGGACTTCGCTATGCGCTCAGCCACATCCGATGCTCACGACGCGCAGCCTATAGAAACAGCACCCCACCCCCCGTCACGCGGTAACTCGGCTTTGGCGCGCTTGTGTCTAGTGCTGTACACCCAATCACACGTAATCCCGATCCAGCTTCGACGCGCCGAAACTCGACAGTCTCACGTTTACCGCCCGTGCGTGGCAGCACTACAGATGTAAAGGGCTACTTATCTACGCCCTCGTATCGGGCTTAGAGTGAAGGATGCTTGTGGGTGGGGCGTGTTGATCTCCAGATGCGCAGCAAGTGCGGAACGGTATCGGTGCGTTTCGTTCCGATTGATGAAGCGGCCGGGCACTCAAATGTTCGCAGATGTTTGGACAGGATGTGCGCGCCGATGACCAGGAAAGAAAGCTCAAACTCTGCATCGCCGTTGTCCGGCATGCCTACGAGACGACGAGGGAGAGCGTCTTCATCTCGGCGCCCGCGAGCTTCTACGGCTGAAGTGTGGACGAGCGCGTTCGCTTATTTCGGGCACGTGGAACATCACCTCGATGGTCACCGACATCCTATGTGCGCCGTACCAGCTCGACAGGTGCCTACACCACCAAGCACCGAGGCTGGGGTCGAGGACCAGCGCGAAACGCGTACGTCTTATCACACAACTGTAGCAACGGTCCCGCTGATGCGACTGTCTTCCAGGTCGTCGATGCGTGGCTTCAAGATGCTGGGTAATGTGCATGCATCTACATAATAGGTACACCAGAGCACAAATCGCTGTACCGTACCATGTGCTATCAATCAGATACACCTTGACTGATCGCTGGAACCTCTTCAACTTCCCTCACCATTCAACGCTTCTGGTCCCCCCGCTCTTCGTCCCATGCGTCCCATCCTATGTATCGTCCATCGCTTGGAGGCCATTATTGCGAGGTCGACTATCCATATCAACATCTGCCCGCGCTCCCTCATCAATCTCTGGCGCTTCATTCGTCCCCTGATCCGCCTTGTGCGCATCACGATCACGGGAGTCGACGGTGACCATGTCTAACTCGGGTGCTCCAGCTCTACTTAACTCGTCCCGTCCTACCCCGTTGTCTGTATCATGGGCGCCACTGCGAGGTCGAGCAGCCATACCAACATCTACCGACTCTCTCTCATCCATCGCCGCTTCATCGGAAGCCTCTCTATTCTCCGTATGTCCATCGCGATCATGGACAATGGTGACCATCTCTAACTCGTTTGCTCCAGCTCCATTCGTCTCATCCTCGCCTCGCTCACCAAGGAGCTGCGCTGCTGTCATAGTGGCTGGACCCTGCTCAAGCTCGACAGGGTCAACGGCCCCGCCCGGCCGCTCATGCGGGTTTCCATACGAGCCAGTAGCCGCATCATCTAGATCTCCGGCGGCAAGGGCGAAGGCCCCGTGTTCCGAGTCTGCGGGCAGATCGCGAACACCTTTCACGTTCAACGCGTCCATCGTCGAGATTCGAGCGCTACGTGGCGGTGCTGGCTCCGTATCATCTGAGACGTCTGCACCCGGTTGAGCAAGACGAGGATGTTCGGAGCTGTTGTCGGTGCCCAGTATCGGCAATGTCAGGGGCGGACGCCGAGCTGCTGCTGCGCGTTCAAAATATGTTTCGAAGTTCACGCGCTTCGCAAGCTCTCGGAGTATCTCGACACAAACCGTGCCGGGGAAAGCACTGAGGAACTTATGGTTAGGATCGTTGCGAAGTTTAGTATTGAATGCGCTTCCAGGTTCAAGCCATTCGTCAAGGCCCGCCAATCGCAGAATGCCCACAAACTCGGGGGAGGGAATACTCGTCCTGTCATCCTCTGAAATGACGATGTTCTTCTCAAGCTGGCTGTATATGCCGTGAATGGCAGGATACAGAAGCTCTCTGGCGGACTGTCTTTGTTCGCCGGTGGAGTCCAATATTCGTGCAACGACTGTCAATGCGTTGCACGCTTCTATATGTGCACGACCTTCGGGGGTCAGAACACTTTGCCAGCCTCTGCAACAGTCGTCGTCGTGCAAGGGTAACAAATTTGACTCGTTGGCGGGCTCCCATATACACGGTGAGTAGGTTCCTCTGGTTATTAAAAGGATAGATGCGCTGGGATGGCGTCCCCGGGCCCTGAGCTTGAAGGGTATGTTCCAGGCGCTTGCCTCTCGGAAGAATGTCGGTACTTCCTCTTCCAGAAGAGTCGGCATCTTCGTAGACGCCCTCATGCACAGTCTCAGAAGGGACCGTCGTACGCTTGCAAGGCATAAATGTGCCTGGAGCTGTGCAGGCCCGTCAATCTCTGCTAGATGAGATACCATACCAATCGCATGCAGACACCACGGATTTGTGCGTGCGATAGCCTCCAGATGGCCATCGCCGTAGTGTTCAACCTCAGAAGCAAACATTCTCTCGGAGAGATACGATACAAGCAGGAATATCTCAAGGGGTAAGGGCACTGACGAGGGGTTGCGTATGTAATTAAACAAGAAATTTTGAAGATAAGAGCAAAATTTTCTAATAAGCTCTTTGTCGGCACATAATGTACTCAGGAGCGCATCTCTTCCCATGTGCAGATCAATGAAGGAAGGTAACAGTTTGAAAAATCGCTCCCGATTCTCTTGCGATATATGGGGTGACGTTTGCGCCCACAGGAATGCATCTCGGGTGTCGGTCAAGAATTCCTCTATAAAACGATCATCCATAAACACCAGGCCACCCACGTACTGCCTGGTGATGAGGGCATAAAGCGTCGTCTGGTCCCGATTGGTGCCCTTCTTGCGCAAAGACAAGAAAACACCGCCAATTCGACTGCGAAAAACTGACCAGTAGGCGAAGGCCAGCAGGTATGTGACTGGAGTCCTGTACGGGCAACTCTTATCGAGGAGAGGGAGCAGGCTGGCTATGCCATATATGATGACGAAGACGCCAAAAATCGCGGTAGCAATGCCAGCCACGATGTGGTCAATAGGAAAGAGGAAGACCAGAAGCCCGCACGCGAAGAGGAAGACGGCAAGGTGTACCAGCGCAACAATCCAAGATACGAACTGGTCCATACCGTAACGATTGACGCCCATGCGGATGTAGATGTGATTGAAAGCGCGTTCCCGCATGCTCTCGTGAAGGACCTTTCGTCTATTGATGTCCTGAACGTACGCTCGGGACCATTCCTGAACCAATGTTGATAGTAGAGCACAGACAAGTGAAATAAATAGACTCATAAACCATAGAGCGTTCGTAGCAATGGCCGCGGGTGGGGTGGAGAACGGTTCAGGCGCCGTGATGACGACGGGAAGGCCTGAGGATGCATTCGCGGTCGCGACAAGGAGTTGCGAGAGGAGTTGGACGGTCTGATCGCCAGAATCGACGGAAAGCAGCTTGTAGCTCTCGACGATGAAAGCCGCTACGGTCGCGGCAAATAGACCAGTCTATAACGCGTCGTCAGCATGCGCGCGGCCTCGGCACGATGGTAGCATTACGCACAAATGTCAGAATGCCCGTCGTGCTGCCCTCCCAATTCTCCGGGCGCGCTTCATCCTCGTCCTTAGACGCCTTCAGGTACGTATCCCACAGGAAGTCTTCAGGCTTCGCATACCGAGGCTTGTCCGAGTCGTTCTCAGGCATTGAAGAGATATATGGGTTACGATATCGGGTGGATAGCACAAAGTGAGTGTCGAAGACACGATGCAAACCGCCGTATCTGGCTCCTAGTGCGAGGCAAAGACAAGTATGGACGTATTGGGTGCGCCTTTCACAGCGTCTAACGGTGCGCACACTTCGGCGTGGGTGGACCGGCCTTGGCCGTGCACGCCACGACAATCACGTCTCAAGAAAATACCGGCCGTGTACAGAACGCTTCGCGTGAGGTGTGCGACGGCCATTCTGCGCCATCAACAAGTACACAGTAGATGGCCGGGATATTCCCTCGTCATTGCAAGAGACAAGACGCGGCGAGCGTCTTGATCGACCGTCACGCTGCGACCTGCTGCGACGGACTCTTGACATCGATATCGCCGACGACCTTCGCCGAGCGCTCCTTTCTTCCACGACCCCCCATCTCTACCTCTGCCAACATGACTTATGTCGTATGACTCAACCCGCAGTCTTCGGCTACTCTCTCTCAGCATCTTCACCACAGGTCGTCGTGCACCTCCACACGCATTTCGTCTAATACCACTCAACACCAGGACGGCACATCAGCACACCGAGGCGTCGGAGTGCGAATGGCTTGTTTAGACTTCAAGCTAAGAGGGCGACATGGAGGATGCTTGGCGGAGTCGGGCGCGCCCCTTGCTGGACAGGACGCGACACACTCCATTCACGGTACAGAGGTGAGTTTCATTCCGAGTAATGGACCGATTGGGCGCTCATGTTCGTGCAGCAGGATTCTACAGTACGATCACAGAGGCCATGGTCTTAAAGGAGAATATGTCTAACCGACGCCCAGCCTACCCGTGCAGGACGAGAGCATCCCGGAGTAAGGGTGCTTCGACGCTGGAGCGCGTACGCTCGTCTCATAGTGGCACACGTTCTCGTACTTGGCCGTCGATGTTCTTCATACGCACTCACCAGACGTGGGACGACCAGTACATCATCCTGCACACCAGCACATCGAGGCGTCGGATGTAAACGTCAACGGCCGTCACGACTTCAAGCCGAGACGGCGACATGGAGGATGCCTGGCGGAGTCGGGTTCGCCTCCGTGGTCTACTTGTGCAGGACAGAACCCGACATGATTGCTCCGCTCAATAAGCGGTAGAGTATGCGCGATTATTGCCACACACGGCCCACACTCCACCTACCGCAAACTACCCTGTGCGCTCAACCGCGTTGGACAAGACGTGCAGCATCACTACGGATTTCCGCTGGCTTCGTGCGGCAAGCCAACCTCGACAGGCTTGTGTCCAGCGCATCCAATCAAGCACGCACACACCCATCCTGTCTCGAGCGCTCTTGCACCCAGTGTACATCCTTCAACGAGGATACGGGCACAGGCGGTTAGGAGGATACGGTGGCTACACCTAGTCATTTTCACCCAGCACACCTACGAGGCAACGAAGGAGCACGTCTCCATTTCAGAGCGAGGATGCATCCGCTGCTATAGCGGGATCGAGGAAGTTAACACGTCCCTCATCTCCAATTTGGGCACCTAGGTCCTATGCACGCCCTTGGCCAACTCGGCATGCACCCACGCCCCGTCACAAGCATGACTTTCGGGGTAAACGGACCGTATCAGGCGGGCCCTTCACTGTACGACGAATCACCGTATACCTTCATATACACCCCACACGACCACTCTCCGTCGAAACCAAGAGAGAACGCGCCGTTTACGACCTACGCCTCGGAGCATCGGAGACGTGGACGGTGGCGATTCGCAGGACATCGCGGAGGGGCGCGGCGGGGCTTTGTGATCTCATTTCATCGCCCGGGTTCAAGCAAGGATTACGCGATGGGCTCGTGTCAGTCGTCGATGCGAGAGATGCATAACTCTCGCTCCTCTCAATACGCGCAATGAGCTTTGGACGACGACGACCACCACACTCGGACCACGCTATACCTGCCCGCGCACTCGGGCATATCCGATCCAACGCGCTACAGTAGTTTAACATCCTGCTGTTTACGGCGCGCGCCAGCTACTTGGCTTCAAAACCGTCTCCCTGCGCACTCACACGCGACGAATCCATCGTCAACGAGCGGCACTCTTGCACTCTCACGCGGTCACCTACTTCCCATGCGCGCGCCAATCCACCTCATGCTCGCGGAGAAGCCACGGTGTCGTGTGAATGGAGCTCTATCAAGCAGGTGGAGACGTTGTAGCATCGCAGAGGGAAAGGGCTATTTACGCTTGCGTATTGGGCTACAAGTGAAGGATGAGTGTGGGAAGAGGCCCGTGGGGCGGAGCGTGTGCGTATCTGGATGCGCAGTACGCGCGGATCGAAATCGGTGCGTTTCATTCCGACTGGCGGAAAGACTGGGCGCTCAATCGTTCGTAGATCATGATGCCTAGATAGGATGTGCGCGTCGACGACTAGGAGAGGAATGCGCAAGCTTCGCATCGCCATTGCCTGGCATGGCTACGGGACGACGGAGAGCGTGTGCTTCTACGGCTGAAGCGCGGACGAGCGCGTCTGCTCATCTCGGGCGCGCGGGATATCACCTCGATGGCCACCGACATTACATGCACGCCCTACCAACTCGACGGGTGCCGACCCCTCCAAGCAACGGGGCGTCGTTGAGGATTGGCGCGAAACGCGTGCGTTTTATTCCCCAATCTACAATCGGCTTTGGCAATAGTCCCGCTCATGCGATCATTTTCCAGGTCGTCGATGCGTGGCTTAGCTGCTGGGTAATGCTCTGCAACTCCTAAGTACATAAGAGCCCGAATCGCTGTACTGTACCATACATTGTCAATCAGATACGCCCACTCTACCGCGCTCTCGCATCCATCACCGGCGCTTCGTCCGTTCCTCCATTCGCCGTGTGCGCCTCACGATCTCGGCCAATTGTGATCGTCTTCAACTCGGCTGCCTCAGCTCTCTCATCCTCGCCTCGCACGTCACGATACCGCGCTGCCGTCATGGTAGCTGGACGCTGCTTAAGCTCAACATGGTCAACAACGCTGCCCAACTTCGCAGAGGGGTCTGCGTAGGGATCGGTGGCCGCATCTTTTCCGGCGGCAAGGGCGGACTGCCCATGTTCCGAGTCCGCGGGCAGATCGCGAACGCCTTCAACATTCGACCCGTCTATCGTCGAAATTTGAGCGCTACGCGACGATGAGGACTCCGTATCATCTGAAACGTCTGCGCCCGGTAGAGTAAGGTGAGGATGTTCGGAGTTGTTGTCGGTGCCCAGTATCGGCGATGTCATGGGCGGACGCTGAGCCACGGCGGCGCGCTCGAAGTATGCTTCAAAGTTAACGAACTGTGCGAGTTTTCGGAGTATGGCAACACACATATTGCCAGAGGGGCCAGGCATGAGTGGGTAAAACTGGGGCCCATCGCGAGGTGTAGTGGAGAGCGTGCTTCCAGGCTCAAGCCACTCGTCCAGACCAGCCGATCGCAAAACGTCCACGAAGTCAGGAGAGGGCATCTTCGTTCTATCATCCTCCGGCATGACGAGATAATGCTCGAGGTGTGCCCACACATCTTCAGTGATCCAGTGCAAAAGAGATTCAACAGATTGTCTTTGTTCGTCGGTGGAGCTCATGATGGACGCTACGACCGTCAAAGCATTGCACACCGCTACATGCGCGCGACCTTCGGAGGTCAGAACGCTTCTCCAGTCTCTGCAACAGTCGTCGTCGTGCAGCGGTAATAGCTTTGGTTCGTTTGCATACTCCCATCTACCCCAGTCGTAGGTTCCTCTGACGAGCAAAAGGAGAATCGCGCTGGGATGACATTCCCTGAGCTCGAAGTCCCCCCGATGGTAAAAGAATGCCGGCAATTCCTCCCCCTTCAGGGGCGACGTTTTCGTAGACACATTCCGACAGAGTCGTAGAAGGGATACTTGTACTATTCCAAGGCATAACTGAGCCTGGAGATGAGCGAGTCCGTTGATTTCTGCTGTCCGAGACACCACGCCAATTACTCGAAGAAGCATCGGGCTGGTGCGTGCCAAAGCCCCTGTATGACGATCGTTGTATTATCGAACGTCTGAAATAAACATTCTCCCAGAGAGATACGATATAAGCTGGAATATCTCAAGGGGAATGGGTTTTGACGAGGGGTTGTCCACATAGGCATCATGTGATCGACTGAGATACAAGTAGAACCTGTTCATGAATTCGTTATCGGCACATAGTGAGCTTAGTAGCGCATTTCTGCCCTTGTGCAAATTGATGAAGGAAGGTAGCAGTTTGAAGAAAAGCTCCTCGTTCTCTTGCGATATGTGGGCGAGTGTTTGCTCCAACAGGAACGAACCTCGAGTACCGGTCAAGAACGTCTCTGTAACTCGTCTAGAGAGCGTCTGTACCTGGCCACCCACGTACTGCCTTTTGATGAGATCATGGAGCGTCGTCTGGACCCGCATGTTGGCATTCTGGCACAAGAACAGAAGAACACCGCCGATTCGGCTGCGAAGAACGGACCAGTAGGCGAAGGCCATCAAGTATGTGATAGGAGTTCTGTATGGACAGCTCTTGTCAAGCAAAGGTAGTAGACTGGCGATCCAATATATGGTCACGAAGATCCCGAGGATTGCGGTAGTAATGCCAACGACAACATGGTCGATAGGAAAGAGGAAGACCAGAAGCCCAGACGCGGATAGGAAGACCGCGAGATGCACCAAGGCGACGATCCATGAGACAAACTGGTCCATCCCGTAGCGATTGACTCCCATGCGAATGTAGATGTGATTAAAGGCGCGTTCGCGCATGGTCTCGTGAAGGACCTTTCGTCTGTTGATGTCCTGGACGTAGGCTCGGGACCATTCCTGGACCAACGTCGATAACAACGCGCAGATCAGCGAGATCAACAGGCTCGAGAACCAGAGCGCATTCGTAGCTATGGCCGCGGGTGGGGTGGAGAAAGGCTCGGGCGTGGTGACGATGACAGGAAGGCCTGCAGATGCGTTCGCGGTGGCGGCAAGAAGTTGCGAGAGCAGTTGGACGGCCTGATCGCCGGAGTCCACCGAGAGCTGCGTATAGCTCTCGACAATGAATGCCGCAACAGTCGCAGCGAATAGACCGGTCTATGGCGGCTCGTCAGCAAGTGCGTAGTCTCACGATGAGCAGTACGCACAAAGGTCAAGATGCCCGTCGTGCTGCCTTCCCAGTTCTTCGGGCGCGATTCGTCCTCGTCCTTTGACGCCTTCAGGTACGTGTCCCATAGGAAATCTTCTGGCTTCGCATACTGAGGTTCATCCGTGTCGTTCTCGGGCATTGGGCGAGACAGCGATGTTGTGCAGTGTCGGGCGGATATTAGTAGAAGACGAGCGCTTGAGGCAGTGTGTTGCGAGTCGCGTCTAGCGCCTGGCGCGAGGCTTGACGCAAAGGATATTACCTTCCTCAGATTTTGTCTAATGCTTACGGCGTGGGTTTACAGCTGGCCGTGAACAGCAACTCTCGCCACATTCCCATGATCGTTCGATACTATTCTATGTCATGGCGGATGATAATGGGATTCAGCGTGAAATTGTACGACCGTGATGGCCTCTGGTCGCGGCAAGAGGCAAGTCGCGGGCAAGTGCACTTGTACATACTCCGCACTTTGGCTCTCTCGAGCACGACCACCACTACGTGCTCCTCGAACACGACGCTATGACGACCTCCTCTACGCCTATCTACTGCACTCTACGGCGCAGAGACATTCAGATCGACTCGACCTCGGCACTTTCAGCCCAAAGACTACAGCTACACGGAACCCCGTTCTGCCGGTTGGAATTTGGAAAGTATAGTCCCCGTTCAGACGCCGTGGCGGGTTCATGCTGAGATCCCTTGGGGTGTACTGTATGAGTGGAACGGAGCGGGTACGTCATGTCACCGGACTGAGTGATGGAATGACTGAGCGCTTATACTCACGTAGCAGGATGAACTAGTACTACGAGCGGGGCCACGGTTAGTCGGCGACGCTGATACTCAGCGCGCCCGTGGGACAGATCCTTGGGGCAAGGACTGGAGCTGGGTCAAGCGCGTACGCTCCTGTACGCTCATCTCTCGCCAGAACATCACCGCGACTTGGACTTGGTCATCCACGGACCACATTACATATACGCCCTCGCCATACGGGAGACAGCAAATCCATGTGCGCCTACGCGTCCCAAGCATCGCCAGTGCATACAAGGCGTATCCGAAGGACACCACGGGTTGCGTGGCGGAAATCTGCGGTGGTCGGTCTCATCGTGCGGGGATTTTGTCAACCTGGGCACCCGCAAACAAGGTTGATGAAGAACAGGACGCGCTCTCTACGCTTGATTTGCATTACGCGTGGCTGGTTGCCACTCGCTCTATACGCAGCGCATTTCGCTATGCGCTCCGTCGCATTCGATGCCCACGCCACGCGGGATGTAGCAGCGACACCCCACCCTGGCATACCAATTCGGCTTCTACGCGTCTGTGCCCAGTGCACCCGATCCACCCCAGACGCGCCTGATCCAGCTCCGACGCGCCGAAACTCTGCGGTCTCAGGCTTACTGTCCATGCGCGGCCCTCCAACCTTCCACGCGCGGCCATATACCCCATACCCCAAATGAATTGTGGTCATTCTCGCGGGTTCAATCTCGTGAGAATAGAGCTCGATCGAGCCGGTAGAGGCGTCGTGCATGCGATGTACGCCTTGCACTACTGCAGAGGCCAAAGGCTGTCTAGACGTCGGCGTGCTCGCATTGAGGTCGGGGTGAAGGAACGGGACGGAGCGTGTGCGTCTCGGAGAGCAGTACGAGCGGAATAGTATGAGTTCGTTTCATTTCACGGGCAGGGAAAGACTGGGCGCTCAACCGTTCGTAGATCATGATGCCAAGAGGAACGCGCGCTTCGACGACCAGAGGAGGAATACGCAAGCGACGCCTGGCCGTTAACCAGCACGGCTACGGAGCAACGCTGGAGAGCGGCGTGCTCCTCCGCTTGGAGTGCGATCGAGTGCGTACGCTCATCTCAGGCGTGCGGAGCATCGCCCTTGACTCAAACGCCAACCTTATTGTTCGATGTGTTACCAAGATACGCGACATTTGCGGTCCATCTTAAGGCCTGAGTCCATCTACGGCCAAAGCCAGGCCAGAGTGTGAACGCTCATCTCGGGAGTCGGGCGCGCAGAATATCACCCTCGACTCGAAGATCGGATATGCAAAACGCGTGCGTACACCCATAACTTCGAATCAGGTTTGGAAACGGTTCCGCTGATGCGAGTATCTTCCAGGCCGTCGATGCGCACCTTCAACTCGTTCAAGAGGCGGTGATAGCCCTATCGGGAACGCACTCGCGCCGGCGCATCTGTTATTCGCGGCCAAGATAGCTCAAGGGGCTCAAAGCGCCTATCTAGGTGGTATCGGGGAGACGCGGGGAGACTCAAGCCCGAGCCGGAAGTGATGAAGTGTACATACCACGTATGCGTTGTCTGCATGTTCATTTGAGGGTTCATGCGTTAACTCGGTGTATAGAATACTCCAGAACTCAGACTCTGTTACATCTACGCTCCGAGCCGTGCGACTCACTATCAAGACATACACGCTTCGAAGGCTCTGATCAACACGAGAGTACCAACGCGTGCAATGTCGTGCTGGAGAGGCCATCATCGTCGCTACGTGCACCTGTCTCCTCAATGCTATCGTTATGGACTTTCCACTAGATACATAACCATATCCGCATGGAACTGATACATAGGCCAGAGCCCTAACCTCCTTACCGTACCCTATACTGTCAGTTAAGAACGCCTTGTCCTATTGTCGTAACTCATCAACATCGGCCGGCCCTTTCGCACGGCTCAGCGTTCCCGGCCGTTCTGCTATCCATCTCGTCGTATTTCGTCATGGCCCATGAGTATGACTCATATCGGCATCTGCCCGAGCTCTCGTGTCGAACACCGCTCCATCCGAAGTCCCTCTATTCTCCGTATGCGAATTGCGATCACGGTCAATGGTAACCGTCTCCAACTCGGGTACCCCAGCTCCGTTCATCTTGTCCTCACTTCTCCCGCCAAGGAGCGGCGCTGCCGTCCCCGTAGCTGGATCCCGCTCAAGCTCGGTAGGATCACCAGCACTGCCCGACTCCTTATGTGGGTCTCCCTGCGAGTCGGTAGCCGCATCTTTCCCAGCGCCGGCAAGAGCGGAGGCCCCATGTTCCGAGCTCGCGGGAAGATGATCGCTCACGCCACCGATGTTACCGTCTATCGTCGAGGTTCGAGTGTTACGCGGCGATGTTGACTCCGGATCATTCACGACGTGTGCGACCGGTCGAGCGAGATGGGGGTGATCCGAGCTGTTGACGGTGCCCAGGGTCGGCAATAATGCCATGGGCAGACGCTGAGCTGCTGCTACGCGCTCAAAGTATGCTTCGAAGGTGACCAGCCGCGCGAGATCTCGGAGGATTTTGGTACAATCATAGCCTTCGAAAGTAGCAGTGAGCAACCAATAATTCGGCCCATCGCGATTCGGTGCAGTATCCAAAGTGCTCCCCGGTTCGAGCCATTCATCAAGCCCAGCCAATCGCAGAACATTCACAAACTCGGGGGAAGCGATCTTCATTCTGTCATCCTGTGGCATGAAGGCATGTTCATCAAAGTATGAGAACACGTCTCGAATGATCCTATATAGGGGGATTCCGGCATACTGTCTTTGGTCGTCGTCGGAGTTTAATATGTAAGCAATCATTGTCAAGACGTTACACGCTGCTACATGTGCGCGACCTTCGGGGGTGAAAACGCTTTTCCAGCCTCTGCAACAGCTGCCGTCGTGCAAAGGCAACAGCTTTGATTCGTTTGCACTCTCCCAAGAAGATCCCCTGTAGGTCCCACTGGCGAGCAAAAGGAGAATCGCACTGGGATGGCGTCCCATGAGCTCGAAGTTCTCCCTGTGGGACGTTTCATTAATGAATGCCGACACTTCCTCTTCCTGGAGAGTCGGCATCTTCGTAGACGCCCTTAGACAAAGTCTTAGAAGGGATTCTCGTACCCTCGCAAGGCATAACTGAGCCTGGAGCCGTGCAGGCCCGTCTAGTGTTGCTATCCAAGGCATCATACCAACCACCTTAAGAAGCATCGGGCTGGTACATGTCAAAGCCCCTGTATGGCCATCGTCGTAGTGTTCAACCTCTGAAGCGAACATTCTTTCGGAGAGGTATGATACAAGCGGGAATATCTCGAAGGGGATTGGGGTTGACGATTCGTTGCTCCTGTGAATAGAGTATAGTCTAACAAGATACCGGTAAAACCTGTTCACGAGTCCGTTGTCGGCACATAGTGTGCTTAGGAGCGCATCTCTGCCTCGGTGCAGATCGATGAATTCAGGCAACAGTTTGAAGAATTGCTCGTCGACATCTCGCGATATATGCACATACATGTGTTTCCACAAGAATGAGCCTCGAGTATCGTCCAAGAATTCCTCTGCTCGTCGATGATTGATCTCTATCTGGCCACCTACGTACTGTCTTGTGATGAGGACACGAAATGTCGTCTTCCCCTGATCATTGCCATGGGCCGCCTGGCGCCAACACATGAGAACATCACCGATACGACTGTGGAGAATGAACCAGTAGATGAAGGCCATCAGGTATGTTACAGGAGTCCTGTATGGACAGCTCTTCTCAAGTAGAGGGAGCAGACTGGCGACGCAATATATGATCACGAAGACCCCAGAGATCATGGTAGCAATGCCAGCCACGACGTGGTTGATAAGAAAGAGGAAGACTAGGAGTCCACACGCGAACAGGAAGACCGCGAGATGCACCAAGGCGACGATCCATGACACGAATTGGTCCATGCCGTAGCGATTGACGCCCATACGGATATAGATGTGATTGAAAGCGCGTTCGCGCACGGTCTCATGAAGGACCTTTCGTCTATTGATGTCCTGTACGTATGCTCGAGACCACTCTTGAACCAACGTTGATAAAAGGGCACAGATGAGCGAGATCAACAGACTCGTGAACCATAAAGCGTTCGTAGCGATGGCCGAGGGTGGAGTAGAAAACGGTTCGGGTGTCGTGATGACGATTGGAAGGCCCGAGGATGCGTTCGCGGTCGCGACAAGGAGCTGCGAGAGGAGTTGGACGGTCTGATCTCCAGAGTCGACGGAGAGGAGCTTGTAGTAGCTCTCGACGATGAACGCCGCTACGGTCGCAGCGAATAGACCGGTCTAGTGGATCATGAGCACGTGTACCAGTTCTGAGGCGAGTAGTACGTACAAAGGTAAGGATGCCTGTTGTACTGCCCTCCCAATTCTTCGGTCGCGCGGCGTCCTCATCCTTAGACGCCTGCAGGTACGTATCCCATATCAGGTCCGCTGGGTCCTCATACTGGGGTTTGTCTATGTGTTTGTCTGGCATTGAAGAGACAGAAATGTTTTACGGTGTCGGGCGGATAATAGAAGACGACCGTAGAAGGCACGATGTTGCGTGTCATGTCTAGCGCCTAGTACGGGGCATGACAGGAATGGATATCGCCTTCCTGAAATCTTTCCAGCGTCTAGCGAAGCCCAGTGTTTGCGGCATGGGTTGATAGGCCATGACAACAAGCCCACCCGCACTTCTTATCATGAGTTATTCAGATAAGTTTCAGCGTGAATCCAGCGCTGATGCATGATGAGTAGTACGACTACAATCGTTCTTGGTCGTGGCACGAGGCAAGTCGCGGGCAAGCGCGCTTGGGATCTCTCGAGCTCGATCACCATGACGCGTCTTTCTGTCTCTCCATAACAGTCAGCACTAGCTGCAACAGCGACCGCATATATGCTCTTCTACTGTCCTGTCCGAGTAAGACAATCAACGACGACGCTGCAACTGCCTGGCGTGTGACCGCGCTTCCGAGTCGCGCTGACTCCGACGTGTTGAAGACGCGCCTTGTTCTCTCCCATCATGTACTTCTGCCTTCCTACGAGCTCACCTATCGCTGTCAAGATGATCTCCGACCACGTACAATGACCTATTGCTGCTAAGCCGTGTTCTATCTGGGAAGTGCATGCTGAGGCCCGCGTACGACCCGCGATCTATATGGAGGCAATCGCACTGTTGGTGCCAGACATGTGGGACGTCGCGCAAGGGTGAGGGAATTCGGGCACGCGCAGGAACGCTGTAGTCTTACCCTGGAAACGTCGTCTGTATGGACCATGGTCCTGCCCTCCGACGCACGCACACGCGCCAAGCAAACGGGTCGAGCGAATCTGCGTTGTCGCCGTAGGAAGGGGAAGGAAGGAAGAGCACGGTGTAAGCCGTAGAACGTAGGTGCGAGATCTTTCCAACGGCACTCTAGGACACATACTGACTATAATCATAGCAGAATAATCTATTGGATACTGGACAGGGCTCTCAGACAAGGGTCGCTTGTTGCTCTAAGCTTCGCAAACGATGTATATAACTTAACAGTACCACCCGAATGAAAAGACGACATCGCTTCCACTGCGATCGATGGTGCGAGTGAGATGTAGAGTCGTCTCGATCTTGAAGGTAAGATTCGGCAAGCGTGGTGCGACCGCGCGAGGGTCCTCAGCCTGCACCCCCCAAGCACCGAAGGACTGAGCATAAACTCACGTGTGCAGGCCTCATCGTACTTTACTCCAGTCATCTGCGTAGGTGGGTATGCCATCAAGCTCGACCGAAGCCATTCAACTACTTGCTGATTATTTATACCAGTCCCACGTTGTCTGAGCGAGGCTATATGTTCGCTCAATCCGTCTTCGCCGAGCTTCGCCACTGTGCCCCAGGAGAAAATGCACACACCGCTCAGGTTGCCGGATCTCGCGCAACCAGTTCGATTTCCGTTCACCCTCTCGGTCTTCGGTCTTCGTCTGACTACATACGCGTGGGGCCGTGGAGGGGATTGAAACGGCTCGGAAACACAACGGAACACTGCCAGTTATATGCGAATCGGCCGCAAGGTGCGAGGTGGCATCGTCAGGCGACGAGCTGTTGAGTATCTGCGCACATTTGTGGTGCCAGCCCCAACCAATCAAAACCGCCCCTACCTGCTCCGTCCCGGGCTTCCCCGCCCATACACATTGACTTTCGGCCGTTACACCTACGATGGCGAGTCAGGTATGGTATTTCGCCGCCTTGGCTGAAGCTAACTATAGAGCTGAAATCGCATATATAAAGCCTGGTGAGACCTAAGGGACCAATCAACACTACCACCCGAGGCGAACGCGATGCCCTCTTCACCTCATGCGCACCCAGCTCCAGCACCCATCATAGCTGCACCTGCTCCTATCGAGGTCAACGTAGCGCCGATAAAGGAGGAAGTGACATCCGACACAACTGTTGCTGGCGAGTGTCCAGATGGTGGGCTCGCCGCTTGGTTGCAAGTGCTGGGATCCTTCTTCCTCATCTTCAGTACTTGGTGGGTGTAGGATTAGCATACTTTCCCGACGCAACTAACCCAACTACATGTAGGGGTATCTTCAACTCCTTTGGCGCCTTCCAGACGTATTACGAAGATCAGGGGCTGAATACAGCGTCTGCCATCAGCTGGGTGGGCTCCGTGCAAGGCTGTATCCTTCTATTCGCTGGAGCAATTACAGGTCCTATTTTTGATATGGGCTACTTACACTCGCTCGTTGCGACGGGTACCATACTCGTCGTACTCGGTATGATGATGACCAGCCTATCCACGAAGTACTACGAGGTCAGTTCGTCACCCGCTGCGTCACTGAAGGTGATTACTCACGTCGATATGCACGTCCAGGTCATCCTGGCGCAAGGTGTATGCGTTGGGCTCGGAGCAGGTTGTTTGTTCATCCCTGGGCTCGCCATTGTCTCCACGTACTTCCAGAAGAGACGCGCAGCGGCCCTAGGCTTTGCCATCTCGGGCAGTTCAATTGGTTCGTGGCTCGCCCTGTGACGGTCGCACAGCGTTCACTTTGGTTACAGGCGGTGTGGTCTACTCTACGGTCTTTCGGCAGCTCTTGGAACAGGTTGGCTTTGGGTGGACGACTCGGGTGATGGGTTTTATAGCCCTTGCGACCTTATCGACGAGTCTCGCTGTGATGCGCCGTAGGGTGACGACGACGCATACTCGACGCAAGCTCTTCGAAGCACAGGCATGGAAGGAGCTTCCCTATACACTGTTTTGTATAGGTACGTGGAATGCCCGTACTATATTCAACGAGAAGAGCTGATAGGCCACAGGGAACTTCCTGAGCTTCGTCGGCGCATATATTCCCTTCTTTTTCCTCCCAGCGTATGCTTCGGCCCACACCAACGCTTCGCCCACCCTTGCCTTCTACACTCTCGGCATCCTGAACGGCGCAAGCACAGTCGGCAGAGTCGTCCCCAACTTCTTCGCCGACAAGACTGGGCCACTGAACATGCTCATCCCATGCGCGTTCATCACCTCCATACTCGCCTTCTGCTGGATCCCTGTCAACTCTGTCGGCAGTCTCATCACCTTTGCGGTGCTCTACGGCGTCTTCTCAGGCGCTCTGTTGGCTCTCGCACCTCCGAGCCTCGCGAGTCTGACTAGCGACGTCAGCCGCGTCGGGACGAGGATGGGCATGGCATTCGCGTTGGGCGGTGTCGGCCTGCTCATCGGCAACCCTGTCGCCGGTGCGCTAGTGAACACGGAAACGGGCAACTATGTGCGCGCGCAGGTGTTCAACGGCGCTATCGTGATGGGCGCAGCGATCTTCATGGGTCTGGCGCGGGTTGCTGTGGTCGGATTCCGTTGGGTTAAGGTGTGATCGTAGAGCGCCCTCCGACGCCCCTCGCTGGCACTTGTCCTTCCACACGAATATCTCGTCTTCACTACCATAACACGTATCGTGCACTTTATACTACATCCCTCCGATGAACTGAACCCGATTAAACATACATGTATACATCACGACATTGTTCGTTGCCTACAGTACTTAGTCCGAAGTTAGGTGGGTATCTGCCCTCGCTCATACCCACTCCAAGATGACACTATCCCACAACCACCCTCTCCATTGCGTGTGCTGCTCCACCACGAAGCTCACGGTATTCGTCCCCTCCGTCAGCGCGCCCGCATCAACATCAAACTCGAAAAGATGCCACTCTCCTGCGATCGTCGAGCTCCTATAGAGACTGGGATCATTGAGAATGCTGGCGCTCGTTAAGTTGCCCACTCTCGTCTCGCCGTTGACGTAGATCCCAGCGCTGCTACCTTGACTGAAGCCAGCAAGAGCAATAGTCAGCAGCGCCGACCTGTTCTGCTCGACTGCGTCCGCGGCGAGGTCGAACACGATGTCCCAACTGCCGATGGCGGATTGCGCGTAGTACCAGTCGGACGCGGGATCGGATTGGCCGACGGTGAAAGTCAGGTTGGCTGGGACCGTATCGACGAGAGCGTGTTGGTAGGGGTGTCCACCGAGGTTAAATCCGAGCGTTGTGCGGTCGACGACGCCGATCTGGAAGATCTGCTCGCGACCCGTGGGAACCTCCCAAGCGCCCAAGTCCTCGAGCGTGACGGTAGGCTCGGCGGCAATTTCCACGTCGTTGCGAACAAATGTGGTCGTAACGTTGCCGAGTATCTCTCCGCCATTAGACCACGCATATAGGCCGTAGGTTCCGGCGCGGACTTTGGTGAAGTTGAACGCGCCAAACTCGTCGGCGGAGGCGACGTAGTTATACAGCGAGCCTTGGTCGAGCGTGGTCTTGTTCGAGTTATTCTCGCCGAGGAAGACAGCCGCGCCGGCAGCAGGGCGTCCATCGGAGAGGACAAGCTTGCCCGTTACGACTTCCGCGCGAGATTGGTAGGCCGTATCGTTGAGCCACGAATAGGGCCACGCGTCGAGCTCTTGCTTTTGACGTGCGGCAGCATCCTCCTTGGAGCCGTCGTTCTGTGAACTTCAGTTAGTATACAGGAGGGTGACGGTGAGGGTAGATGTCTTCGCACCAGGTACCAAAGCCACGGGCCGAAGATCTTGCCGGCGGGGAAGACGTCGGCGGACGTGGCTTGGAAGTGAGTCCCGTGAACCATGTTGAGTTGCACGGCGTCTCCAGTGAGAGATTCACAGTGTACCTGCATCGCATGTTAGCCCGGCCCGGTCTATGAGGTGCAGACGAACGTACAGTAAGCTCCTGCTTGAGCTGATTGCCACCAATATAGTCCTCTCCCGACCCACGAATGTACCAGCTACCGAACCCATCGCCATAAACGCCGTAGAAGTCGATTCCGCGAATGAAGTCACTCCAGTCGTACTTAGTGAGATAAGAGCCATTGGCTAGCTGCCATGTCTCGTCCTGCACCTTTGTAGCGTTCTGGTAGAGGGAGAACGGTGGAAGGGGCCCGTCCTTGATGTTGGTACGGCCGTTGGTGAAGGTTTCGTTGTCGAGACGCCAGAGCGTCCTGTATTCGCCGAGGACGGGTAAGGCGCGGTTCACGAAGTACTGATATGCGCCGGCCAGGTCGTCGAGGATGACCCAATGTAAGTCACCCTGTGCGGCGCTAAAGCTCACGTCGATGAAGTCCTCTCCTTGCGTCACTATCTCGGCCGACGTAAAGTTAAGGTTGTTTTCGCCATCTGGTGGAAAGTCAGCTTCGGCAGCGAAAATAGAATGGATGCGACGTACTGTAGCCAGTGTAGTGTCCCTCTGCTTCGCCGGTAATCTCCTGGCCCTTGTAGTACGCTGGCTTGCCGTATACAACGCCTTGGGTAACGTTCCACAGGTCGTTGCCGATGACCCAGCTACCGTTCAACGTCTGGAGAAACGGTCCGGAAGCCGCACAGAGTCGCGACAAGAGCAAGCTGAGCGCAACGGATTTGACCACCATAGTCGCGCGCCGCCGTTCGATATCCGTTTGCTCCGCCAGGTCCCTTACATCTCTTAAGGCATCGAATTGCCGCAAGAAGGGGGACAGCTGATGAAGATGACGTGCGCGTCGCCAACCTTGGCGCGGTCACCGGCAACAGGCTGTGGCACGCGCCCACCGTCCTGAATGCCCGAAAAGCATTATCCGACGGCTTTCGGGGGTATTGAAGAGCGGCCCGGTCACTACGAAGGCCCGTAAGTGAGGCTGATCGTTGGTCACGGGTCTGGTGGGACGTACTTTACATCAATGAGCTTTGAATAAATCTCCGCCCGCTATCGAGAGCTTGAGTCTCCACGATAGCTAGCACTGTGGTCGTATACGACAGGCGTACTCGCTCCTCGCCATGTCGTTGTTGGTGGGTCGTACGTTTATATTACGCCGATAGAATGAGATCTCTGGTCATGGCACACGACTGGAAGGAAACCAGGGCTCATCGCATTCGCTGGCTGGAGTATACCCTCGTTGGAAGGGCTCTAAGAGGCGATCCTTCGGCAGTGGTGGACGCTGGAGTGGGCAGCCGGTCTTTCGGGATCGCCGGTAGCGATCTATGTAATGCCATAAGATTCACTCTGTTGAGTTCCTGGATTCTGAGCTCTTATTTGAAGCAGTGAAAGAGGGTGAGTAGCCAGGGCAATATCAAGGACAATGAGGGTCGAAAGTAAGATGACGGAAACCGGGGTGGACGCGATATACGCGGGGCGCGTCGCGGTCGCCGCGGCGACGTGCGTGATGCCGGGGTGCGCTGATGGGATTCATTCTTGCTCTCGACCGTCATGAGCTATATCGCGGACTGTCAAAGAATACAAGTCAGGTTTCTTGACTGCCTGTCGTCGCACACAGCAGCACGAACCGCATACCGCTCCGCTCTCCCTTTCGGGCAAGGTGTACTTTCAGGTAATGGTGCCCAGAGCCTGGATCCAGCTATGAGACGTACATGGATGAATCGGCATCGCATCTCGAGGCAGGTCAAGCATTGTGCTTCTGGACATATTTCCCCCCCATGCCGTGGATGACATTACAGTTGAACCCGTAAGCTCTCCTACGGGCCCGCAATGCATCCTACGACACCTGGAACGTAACCGCAGACAGCACATAACAGGCATCAAGTGGTACCCCTCAGATTCTACTAAACGGACGGTGCGTGACAATCCTTGTCATATAATGCTGGAGTTGCGCTAATTGTGCCTTTTGGTCTGCGCACTCAGGCTTCAATCACTAGCCACGCGCGCCTTCGCTGTTTTACCAGACAGTAATGGCCGACATCTTCCGACGTCAACTTGCGAAACATACTACAGCGGGTTGCGCGCACGATCACGGCTTAACTGTGGATGTGGGCTCGATAGACGGATATGCCGCTGAAGCGTTGAAACCGCTCCGAACCCATGCACAAACTGCAAGCAAGCCGAAGATGCAGAATAACTCCTTGTAGTCGATGGTCAGTATCGTCGTGTTCATACTCACGTATAAACTTCCCTCTGACGAGGCCATGATGACAGGTTGAAGCGCACATAGGGCGAGCGGGATAGCGTAGTAGCTTTCCTGAGTGCCGCCACATCACGATTGCCTCGGTCATCGGCCATCGTCTGACTACGCGTGGGTCGTGGAGGAAGGCCGAAGCGGCTCGGAACCGCGACGGAACACTCAACTCCATACGAACCGTCTGCGAATAGCACAGGGCGACGGTTAGACGGCTTGTGTTCAACTATCTACTTACTTCTGCCATTTCAACCAGGCCCTACGAGTCTGCATCGACCCTAATCTAGTCAATCTTCAACGTCAATGTCCGACCTTTCGGCCGGTCCGCGTGCGATCATCTTTTGGAACCCTTCCTGATCGAGCTCGAATTCGTCCTTCCTCTTCTCATTGGCTGTCGTCGGGACAGGAACTTTGGTATAAAAATGTGACTAGCTCATCATGCTCCTACCAACGACTACGATGCTCTCGACTATTACCCACAGTTCATTGCCAGCTTTGGTCGAGACCGCAAGGGAAGCATCCCCTCAGACCACCGTAGCCGATGGCGAGAAGTCAGAGACGACACCCGACACGTCAGCGACTGAGGTCCCGGACGGTGGACTCACCGCCTGGTTACAAGTTCTGGGATCGTTCTTTCTCATCTTCAGCACTTGGTACGTCGTAGCCCTTCCCTTTCCGAAGGTTGAGGAGCTGAGTGCTCTATTTTCGCAGGGGGATTTTCAACTCTTACGGGGCGTTTCAGGCCTATTACGAAGACCAGGATTTGAACACTGCGTCTGCCATTAGCTGGGTGGGCTCCGTGCAAGGGTGTATTCTTCTGTTCGCTGGAGCAATTACAGGTCCTATCTTTGACATGGGTTACCTCAACTCGCTCATTGCAGCGGGGACTGCCCTCGTCGTCCTCGGCATGATGATGACCAGCATATCAACGAGGTACTATGAGGTATGTCTGATACCGCCGAGCGATTTCTCATCGCTGATGCTCATGTATGCAGGTCATCCTGGCGCAGGGTGTATGCATTGGTTTGGGGTCAGGATGTCTTTTCATCCCCGCTATTGCCGTGGTCTCCGCCTACTTCAAGAAGAGGCGTGCGTTGGCGATAGGCATCGCAGTCTCGGGCAGCTCCCTCGGTTCGTACGTTGCAACTACCATAGCTTCACAGCGTTCACTTCGATTGCAGGCGGTATAGCATACTCCGCCATCTTCCGACAGCTCTTGGACCGAATCGGCTTCGGGTGGACGACCCGGGCCATGGGTTTCATCGCGCTCGCAACTTTGGCGATGAGCCTTGTCATTATGCCCCGCCGGATGACACCTCGCACGCGACGCGCGATGTTCGAAGCAGCGGCTTGGAGGGAGATGCCATACACGCTCTTTTGTGTCGGTACGTTCTTGCTATGTCTTTTGACCATGAGAAAGTGGGCTCAACTAGTATAGGAAACTTCCTAAGCTTCATGGGCACGTTCATCCCTTTCTTCTCCCTACCGGCTTATGCGTCCGTCCACACCGACGCCTCGCCTACCCTCGCATTCTACACGCTCGGCATCTTGAATGCCTCAAGTGCAATCGGCAGGATCATCTCCAGCTTCCTCGCCGATAGGATTGGGCCGCTAAACATGCTGATCCCATGCTCGTTCATCACCTCCGTACTGGCCTTCTGCTGGATCTCCGTTGACTCCGTCGGTGGCCTTGTCACGTTCGCAGTGCTCTATGGCCTATTCTCTGGTGCGCTCCTAGCGCTTGCACGCGCGAGCCTTGCGAGCTTGACAAACGACGTCAGCCGCATGGGCACCAGGATGGGCATGGCGTCGGCTCTTGGTGGTGTTGGCCTGCTCATCGGCAACCCTGTCGCTGGCGCACTGGTGGACACAGGGACGGGCAACTATACGCATGCACAGATCTTCAACGGTGGCGTTGTCATGTGCGCGGCCATCTTCATGGCTCTGGCGCGTTATGCTGCGACGGGGTTCACTTGGGTCAAGGTGTGATCATTGAACATGCTTCGACGTACTGTAGAGGTTCCCGAATCGCACGCGTTCAGCTTCCTCCCGCATTGAGTTTTACTTCTACATTTGCCGTATCCCTTGTTACCTCTATGCGAAAAGAAGCCTAGTGTCGCTAATTTCGTACAATCTGGCCATTGAACAAAAAGACATCGTTCAATCGCGTTGATACATGTATACCCGCCAGTTGAAGCGTTCCTAGACACCGTCGTTGAGCAGCATACAGATACTTGGGCGGTCATCAACGTTCATAAAGAGCCGACGATGGTAAGTATGTGGTGTGAAATGACCGTAGGACTCTTCACTCGGAAGTCGGCCCGTTTCACCGATTCTGCGTGTTGTGCGACGCGCGCCTCGTCACCAGCCTTATTTATCCCCGCCATGGGCACCTTCCAGAGGTCCGCTACGAACAACTGGGGAGACTTCATGCAATCAATGTCTCGTCATGTACACAGTGCTACCGAGTCCCTGCTCAGTCCGCCGTATACATTTTCGGAGGGAGGTGCGACAAGGTGAGCACTGCGGCTCGGACGTGATTCCCGCTACGATAGTAGTGGGTCTTGGTTTCACGAAAGCAACATTGCTTTTGGCTGGCGTTTGAGCGTGCCTGCAAATTGTGCCTGATGTCGTAAGGCCGTCGGTTGGCCGTCGGACGCTCCGGCAGCTTCTAGGGTTAGGGTTGAACAGCAGCGACAGAGCCCGGAGGCCCCGACTCCCTTCATTCTATGCAGTAGGAGCACGGTATATGTCTTGATTCATACATGGCTGCGGGTGTCTACGCAGGCAGCTGCAAGACCTGCCAGAGCCACCGTGTCACATACTCCAATAATTGCCGCCAACCACTTCCGAGGATCCGTGCAAGCTCGACGGTGCAGCTCACGATCTCTGCCGTATGTCGTATATCTTAGCTGCCGTGCCATACCTGCTCCTAGTCTCTCTTTTCCACCCACATCAGGCGATCGCCTGCAGACGAGGTAGGGAGGGCTTGCAAACCATTCGGTGCGCGAATCCGAGAGGCGCGGAACGCGGCTCGAGGTGAGCGCGCCTCGCCGATCTTGCGCTGTGACGGCGTCTGTCTACTTTCCGGCAGAGCTACTCCAGATGAAACACCATGGTCTACCTGAAGCTCGCGAATGTGAAGAGGCTGCGTAGACTTTCCGAGGGTCACCGTGACGTCGATCGTACATTGTAAACATGCACTCGTTCAATACAAGTCGTGACGCGAGAGAACTATTGGCTGACTGGAGAGTGTACAAGGGCCGCTCCGCGGATCTCGGCAGAGGCATCCAGCGGTGCGTTCGTTCAAGTTGTATTGAGAAATTTGGGTACACAACGGGCACGGTGAGCTCGCGTAAGAGTATAGACACGCCGTCGTCGTATGAATGGACCTAACGGACATAGTATTTGTAGTACTGAGCCACACAGCGTGTCTGAGGCTCCTGCAGACAGGCTACACTCTCAAGTGCCGCGTGATCATCCTGCCGCTTCGCACTTGAATTGGTGCCAGTCTCGTGCGACGTTCACGAGCTTCGATGGAAATGCGAGCCGCAAACGCAGTCGATAGGTCAATAACCGTAGCGGGTTTCGCCGCGTGCGGCCCTATGACACTTATCGGTCCTTGGGTCCAGCCAACGTCCTCCGAAACCTCGCGAACGTCCAGCGCGCCGTGCAGAATACTTGATCGGGAACGTCTTTGATTGGCCGAGGCGGGTTCTGGCCAGAAAGTCCCGCTCAACGGCAGACGATGTGTGCCTTGCCCCGACCCGGACGCGTCCGTCGTAGCGAGAGCAGGCAGCTCTGCGCCCGAGGAAGGGCGTCTACTGTCCCAAGACTGTACCATCGCACAGTCTATTGCGACTCGTAGTCGATCTGCTCACACTCTGCTGTCAACTTCGATGTGCACTACAGCGCAGTACGAGTTGCGTGCATTCTGTCGTGCGTCACTTCGGGGCTGCTCATCGATTCATCCGCAGGAGCCTGCGACTCACGACATCCCGGAGCGATGCGGCAACGCTCGATAACAACCGTTGGGCCGACCTATCCTACCCGAGCATGACATACGCGTTATGGAGATATATGAATCTAGCCGCCGGTAAGATGCGCCACCCACCATCCCCGTTCTTCGTCGGGCTCAACCCTCGATAGGCCCCATCCCGTCTTCCTGCCCTTCAACACGAGCAGGATATCGATGGCTACATCAAGCGATCTTTCTCGTGTCTCTACCATGCAGGCGGAAGTCTCGGAGAAGAAAGACTACGTCGTTGGCAAAGAGGACTATCTGGATTCCTCCTTGCCATCTAGGGCGCCAAGTCCCCCATTACTCGATGTGCCCGATGGAGGCCTGACAGCATGGCTCCAAGTTTCAGGCTCTTTCTTCCTGATATTCAACTCATGGTCAGTCCGCATACTGACCACGAGTCGAGTCAAGTCTGACGCCGGACTACCAGGGGCATCTTCAACTCTTTCGGCGCATTTCAAGCGTTCTACCAAGAGAACATGCTCCAGGATACGCCAGCATCTACTATCAGCTGGATCGGTAGCTTGGAAGGCGCACTGTTGCTCATGGGCGGCATATTCACTGGACCGATCTTCGATCTGGGTTACTTTCGCACTCTTGCAACCTTCGGGTCGTTAACGATCGTCTTTGGGATGATGATGCTCAGTCTCTCCACCAGATACTACCAAGTACGGAGCCCGGTGTTCAACCATGAAGTGTACTACGTGCTTACTAGTTTCGCCAGATCATCCTCTCGCAAGGGCTTGTCGTCGGGATCGGCTGCGGATGCCTTTTTGTTCCCTCGGTCGCCATCATCTCTACCTACTTCCACCGCAGAAGATCACTTGCGAGCGGTATAGCCATGAGTGCAAGCGCTCTCGGTGAGCATGCTATATCCTCGACGTCGAACACAACTCTCAACCTTGCCTAGGTGGCGTCGTATACCCAGCAGTTTTCCGCCAACTACAACCTCAGCTCGGCTTCGCTTGGGCAACGCGCATAATCGGCTTCATCGCACTAGGACTCTCCCTTTTCTCACTATCAGTCATGAAGCAGCGACAGACCACCCGTACGAAGCGAGCTTTTCTGGAGCCGGGAGCATTCCGAGAGACGCCCTACACCATGTTCTGCATCGCCAACGCCTTGACATTCATGGGCGCCTATGTGCCCTTCTTCTACGGCACAGCCTTCGTCGAAGCCCATACTGGCGCATCAAGATCCCTAGCCACCTACGTCGTTGCCATCCTGAACGCCGCCAGCACCGTCGGACGTATCGTGCCGAACTTCTTCGCCGACGTATGTGGGCCGCTGAACGTTCTCACGCCGACGGCCTTCGCCACAGCCGTCGTCGCGTTCTGCTGGATACCCGTCCACGATGTTGGAGGTTTCGCTACGTTCGGCGTGCTGTACGGCCTACTCTCCGGCGCTTTGATTGCGCTTGGTCCAGGCGCCATCGGCAGTCTCACGGTAGACGTCGGGCGCGTCGGCACGAGGATGGGGATGAGCTTCGCCATCGCCGGGTTGGGTCTACTCGTGGGGACTCCGAGCGCTGGAGCGCTGGTCGATCTGGAGACGGGGAGCTTTGTGAAGGCGCAGATCTTCAATGGAGTGGTGGTGCTGACGTGTGCCTTCTTCATGTTGGCGGCTCGGGTGTCAAAAGTGGGCTGGGACGTCGCCAAGGCATGAATCGATGATTCTGTGCATCTAGAGAACTATACCCTGTTCGCTTATAGACAAGACTCGCACCGCGTGTATTCGTATCCTCCTTCACATGTAGCATAAGAGATCCAAAAGCATACAAGTCCCTCCCAAAATCTACATCTACAGCACCAGCAAACACAGTACATCCTCAGCATCGTAATCATCACATCCTCCCAGACTTGAATCCATCATCCTCATGACAGGTAAGTGTACTCAATCGGCACAACACCCGTCGCCTCGTCCGCAATAGCATCGAACGCGCCCTGGGAGAGATCGAGCGAGTTGGGGTTGTTCTGGCACGTCGGGCAACGGTCGGCGATCGTCGCTACGACGCTGCGCTGGTTCTGCGTGTTCGTGACGCGGACTTGGCGGCCGCAGTTGGCTGCGTTGTAGCTTTGCGCCTCTGTAGTGACAAATCGTGAGTGAGTGTTCAAGGTTAGATGTATGTATGCAAGGGGAAGAGGACGCACGGACTGCGACAATGAGCGCACTGTCGGGGTTCACGTTGCCGCAGGAGCCAGCGACGCCTCCTTGGAAGTAGAACGTGGCCCTGCATAGACAGTGAGCACACGTCCAGGAACGAGATTGGCAGAGAGATGCGTACATTCCACCGGTAATAGTCTGGCCAACGGACTGGCGGCGCATGTTCACATTGTTCGCCGGAGCAGCGAAAGCCGAGGCAGCGGCGAGGAAGACAGAAGCGAGAGTAATGAAGGCAACCATGTTCGCTGATCCTGCAGACGAGTGTATAGAAAAAGAAAGAAGAGAGTGACGAAAGGGAAGAGAAGGAAAGAGTGCTGTGAGTATTCCACCAGGGAGCTGAAGATCCTGGACTGCGAATATGCCGGTACTTATACGACGGAGACAGGGCGTTAGCTCGTGTCCGCACAGAGTCCAATACACTACACGACATGGCGCAATGAACATAGCGCGATACGAACCTGGATCACATCTGCGGACCATGTACAGGAGATGCAGAGCAACCCGTTATCAGTCCAAAAACGGTAATCAAGGGGTGATATACAGCCTACCATCGCGCGTCGTAGTGTAGTGGCTGTAGCAAAGCCGCAGCATCATGAAGATGTGCAGATGTCCCACTGCCCTCGACATAGCGTGTCCTAACAACTTACGCAGAGAGCACAAGGAAACATGTACATGCACAGCCTTTCAATTGAGCGCGCAGATCCGATAGATCCGTCGCGAATTCCTCTTCGGGTTTACGGCTTCAATTGGGAAGGTGCGCACGAAGCGCCTCGCCTAGCAAACAGATATACACGTACACGCCGCTCTCTCGCAGCCCAAGAAGAATTCAGTACTTTTGATGACCGGGTGCGCTGGACAGCCGTAGCACTCTGGCAACCCGCAACCCGCAACCCACAACTCGCCACGTCGACCATGGGAAGAATCCGGCGCTTAGATCTTAGATCTGTCCGCCCGGCCCGGGGTTCGCGACCTGTACGTTCGCGGCCGTCTCGAGTGGCTTCATAGCCGGGAAGAGCAACACCTCCTTGATGTCTGCGGATGTTCCGTCAGCATCACGTCCCAGAACAAACAGAACAGAAGTCAGGGAGAAGAAACGTACTGGTCGAGTCGGTGAGGAACATGACCAAGCGATCAATACCGATACCCCATCCACCGGTTGGTGGGAGACCATGCTCAAGCGCATCAACGAACGTCTCGTCAATATCCTGTGCCTCATCGTCTCCCTGCGCCTTCTGTCGTACCTGCGATGGTCGCTCAGTACACCTGTCGACTGATTCCAGACCGAGAAAGGGTACACACCTGCTCCTCGAAGCGCGCGCGCTGCTCGAACGGATCGTTCAACTCCGTGTAGGCGTTGCAGAACTCCTTGCCGCACATGAAGCCTTCGAAGCGCTCGCAGAGGCCGGGTCTGGAGCGGTGCCACTTGGCCAGAGGCGACATGACTTGCGGGTGACCAACTGTTCAGAAGTACCCGCATCAGCCATCATTTCTACATACGAACAACACATCCAAAAGAAGGCACACGCACCGATGAACGCGGGGCTGACACACAGCGGCTCGATGTACTCTCCGACGAGCTTGTCAAGCAAGCGCGCGTTAGTCCTCGGCTCGCTGCACTCAACATTGTGCTGCTTCGCGAGGTCACGCAGAAAGACGTTGGCCTCTTCCGTATGGAGCGTGTCGCCAGGCGGGAACCTGACGTTCAGCTTCTCCTCGAGCGTCTCGATCATGTCGTAGCGCTTCCACGGCCTCTGGAAGTCGAGCGTCACTTCGCGCTTGCCCTCGCCCGGACCATCAGGGTGGAACTTGAGCGTTGTCCCGCCCGTCAAGGCCTTGACGAGACCCTCAACAAGCGCCTCTGTCAATTCCATAACGTCGTACATGTCCGCGTAGGCCATGTAGAACTCGCAGATGGTGAACTCGGGGTTATGTGTCAGATCAATACCCTCATTCCTAAACACGCGTCCGATCTCGTATACGCGGTCCAGTCCACCGACGACGAGCTGCTTGAGGTACAACTCAGGCGCAATACGGAGGTACAAGTCGAGATCCAAGTCGTTGTGGTGCGTGATGAACGGCTTGGCCGTCGCGCCTCCCGCAACCATACTCGTGATGGGCGTCTCGACTTCGAGGAAACCGAGCGCGTCGAAGAAGCGGCGGATGTAGGCGATGATGCGGCTGCGCGTGACGAAGATCTTGCGCGTCTCGTCGCTGAGCATGAGGTCGAGGTAACGCTTGCGGTAGCGCGTTTCTTGGTCCTTCAGGCCGAAGTGGCCTGAGGGGAGCTGGTGAAGGTTGGGTGCGAGGAGGACCATGTCGGACGCGGCGATCGAGAGCTCGCCCTTCTTCGTGCGGGCGGGGATACCTTTGACGCCGACGACGTCGCCGCGGCGGAAGATGTCGTGTGTGGCGGCGAAGGTATCGGGTGAGGCGGCGTCTTGCGGTGTGGCCATGATCTGGAGCTTGTGGCCCTCTCCATGGAGGACATAGAAGCGCAGCTTGCCGAACTCGCGGATATCATGCACGCGACCTGCGACAGATTGGGCCTGCAATGTCAAGTTAGGATACTGCTTCTTCACGCCGGACGGAAGCAGGTAGCACGCACATCGTTAGGGCCGAGCTTGTCGCCAGCCTTGATGAGGCCGTCCTTGCCGTACTTCTTGATGTATTGCTCGATGCTGATGCTGACGTCGAACTTGTGTGGGTAGGGGTTGGGGTCCTGGGTTTCGCGAAGCTTCTGGATTTGCCTTGATCGCAACTCGAAGTATTGCTGCAACAAACATTAGCGTGATGCCCCGAAGATGTTTCTCGACAGGTCTCATGACGCGAGCGAAGCACGCAGACTTATGGGCCACAACTCCCAGGATTGGGGATTATATGACGGAACCCATCATCCTGCATCCAGCTAGATCAAGAGATATGGATACGGGTGTTTCACATATCCATCACAGGGCTCAGGAAGAGTCACATAGAGAGAGACGCCTGTCGAGTCAGAGCTGCCAGCGAGCTCGTCGCCGAGACCGGCGTGCAATATAGTGTGTTCAGCGTGCAGAGAGAGGTGGTATGTCGCCATAGCACGTGTACCAGTAATACAAGAGTGATATGAACTCACGTTGGGGTTGAGATCGTCCTCCTTCGCCTTCTGTGCGCCAGCCTCAGCGTCCGCCTTCTTTGCGGCTGGTGCGGGTCCCTTCTCGGCCTTACGCGCCTCCTTCTCGCGTTGCGCCTTGCGACGCTTAAGTTCCCTAAGGTATGTATCAGCACTACAATCTATGTAACACGCTCACGTTCTGAACAGAAACGTACTGCTTGGAGACCATCTCGCCCGTGACCTCATCGAGGTGCGTCCCCGCGGGGGCTGCTGCTGCTGGTGCGCTCATGTTCGCCGCGTACGATCGATGTAGAGGTGGCGTTCGATGCGGCGGATGGTGGTGGCGAAGGGTTGAGAGCGCTGGGCGGGCGAGATTCTGCAATCTGTGCATCTGCCAGAAATCTACTGGCCGAAAACGGAAGGAAGTAGCTCGGCCCGCTCGACTCGCGCGCACACGTGAGTTCGGCCGATCGGCACGACGCGTCTGTCTGACTCGCGGCGCGGATCCCTGACCAGCTTCATTCGGCTCACCGTTCAGGTGTTAGCTGCGTGCTTTCGACGTCTCGCAGTGAGTCTGCAACAATAGGAAGTGGGCTGAAGAGTTGGTCTATACAGGTCTATACGTATGAGCCACGGGAATGAGCACGTGCGGACTCGTGATGCAGACGACGCGGGACGCCATAGCATGACACAGCGCTCCTCCAGTTCCGATAGACTCGATTGGTAGGCTATACGACCCTCCAAATAGTTTTGCATCCCATTCCATACCTTCATATGACATGCGCTGACTAAGGACGTCCGTATGGACCGAATTCATCGGGGTGATCATACTATCAATCCATACCAAAACCCAGTGAGACGCTAGTCTATGCGACCGTACACCCGCAAATTCCCACACCAAGAAAACAAAGAGAGGAACATTATCTCATTATGACAGATCACCTTCAACCTCCTCACCCAAAAACTTCCACTTGATACTGTCTAACACACCACTCGACGTGGATCCAGGGACATCAGACTGCCTCTTAGGCAGATCATCGCGGCGGTCGATGAACTTCCATCTAATCGAATCCTCCTCCTGAACATCCCTATCGAGAAACTTCCACTCGACGTCTAGCACACCAGTGGCCTCGTCGCCAATTGCGTCGAGGGCGGCAGGAGACTCGAGACGACGGTCTATGAAGTGCCATCCGATTGATTCATCCTCCTATAAGTCTCAGTCAGCGAACTTTCTCACTCATGAGTCGCCACACTATGAGGCTCACGTTCGTGGCTACAGCGCGCACGTAAAGCTCATCGTTGACATCGACATCCTGATGGAACGCGTAGACCGAAGTCCTAGATGCCACTCAGTAAGAGACCGCTGCAAGAGGCTGTGGATGAATGCGTACCGTCTGTGCATGCCCTCCGCAACGGGAGCAGCGAAGATTGAAGTCGAAGCGGCGACAATAGTGAAAACCAATAGGGTGACGAAGTTGAGCATCTCGAAGAGTATGTGGTGCACGGAGAGTTCGAGTTCGAGTTCGCTGCTAGATAGGACTGGAGGATCCTGACGGTGCTGGTGCAGCTACGTTCTGGAGCTTTTATACGCGTCCAGAGCCTCTCCTCACGTACCGGAAATGCGAGATACCTAGCGAGCTCTGACCCGGCCCGGAGACTTCTCAGGCTCGTCAGCCGCATGCCATGCGAAGAGGAACGAAGAACCAAGTGTTAAGTAGACAGACAATACTGTGTGAGCGACAGTTAGCAGCTTTACATGCATAGCGCACTTCCAGTAGACAACGCGATGGTGCCGATTCGTCCCGGCGCATCTCCGGAGCGCTATGTTTGCTCGAGCTATGTCACGCACGCGCGAATCGCTGAGGCGATGTATAGGCGGGCGTTGATCTCTATCCATTTTAGCACCATAGACAGCGCCTCAGCTAATCGGCCACGCGCGTACTCGTGGCAGCATCAAGAGAAGGTGTAGACCCGTCCAGCTGCAGCGTCACATCCGCGGTATGGTGCGTACTCTTGTAGAACGTCCTATGCATGCAGCTCATTACATCTGCACATGTCAGGCCATAGATAACGCTACGAGATATGCTCAGTCACCTTCGCCATGGGTGCACCGTGCTCGCACTGACAAAGTCTACGAAGCCGCAGAGCCTCCTGCAGCGGCGACCCTATACGCTAGTTAGCTGTGCTCCGAGTTCAAGCGTTCAAGGCAGGGTCAGCCAGTAAGTCATTTCACTTCCATGCATCCAACATCGAGATGCGCTCTCCTTGACCAAGCGGTCACGCCGCTCCAATCCGAGGCAAATGAGCGCGCATAGTAAGGCGGCGGAGTTCCACGGCGCGGTAACTCATGACAGCTGGTGAGCGTTGAGAACAAGTTCGGTCCGCCGCACCACCGAGGCAGCGACCGGGTCCGGCTCATCGGCCCGAATGTCCACCGTAGTGGCAAGATGCCTCTCTGTCGCCGTTATGCTTGCGTTGCGAGCACTTTTCAGGATCATCTGGGCTCTCATAGGCACCTTTATGCATGTCCTTCATGCCAGAGCACAGATCTAGTGGGATAGATACACCAACACGAGAAGTTTACTATGTGTTTCTGAGAAGTATACATGGGTACAATCACGAGACTGCATATACATCCAATCAAAACCCAGACTGAGATTCACTTCCACAACCCAAGTACTGGAGGCACAATGATGCACCCAAGCGATCCATATAATCGAAGATAGACACTAAGACGGCCCAGGAGAAAGACACCGTAACGCCCGAAGGCCATCGTATTGGTCCTGTATGCGCGTGGATAACGCTTAAGAGAGATATTCCCAGGTGATCGGAACGATGCCCTGCGACTCGTCGGCGATCTGGTCGAACGCGCCTTGAGACAAATCGAGTGAGTTGGCGTTACCCTGGCATCCCGGGCACTCGTCTGCGACGGTGGCGACGACGGTGCGCCCGTTCTGCGTGTTGGTGACCTGCACGCGGCGGCCACAGTCAGACTGCTTGAAGCGTTGTGCCTCTGTGAGATACAGTAGTCAGTAAGGGCAGGTGTTATTGAAGGAAAGATGCTCACGTTCGGCAACGATGAGTGCACTGTCGGGGTTCACTTGACCGCACGCTCCGGCGACGCCACCCTGGAAGTAGAATGTCGCCCTGTACAACACAATATGACATGAGCAACAGATTCGAGCAACGATAACTAGAATGTACGCACTCTCCGCCCGTGATGGGCTGACCGATGGCCTGACGGCGTACGTTCTCGCCAGTAGGAGTGGCAATGGCAGAGACAGCCGCGATAGCGACAACAACAAGAGAACCGAAGTCGAACATGTTGAAGAGCTTTACGACAGGTGTGTTTGATACGAGTAGCTGCTAGACCTGTAGAACGAGGAGCGCTGACGTTTCTCGGCATGCAATGTCCAGCTTTTATACCTGTCTTGAGCCAAACGACTGGGTAGCCAGTGGTCGGAAAACGTGTGGATTATTCACAACAGCAAACGTTCACGACATACATCCGAGCCTAGTAAGAGGCAGGGCTGATGTTCCGTTTGTGGCGGGCGACCGAAGAGCATCAAAACGGGTGCTCGAGCGCTCAAGTACGGCGGCCATGTGGGGTATACAGCATTGAATGAGGGTTAATGGTAGCCGGAGGATGCATACAGGGAGAGCTTTCCAAGCTCAGACGATGATTGTAACTTGAATATTGCACAACAACCGTCCAGGTAAAAAATGTCGAGTGCGCTGCAACGGCATCATTGAACGCTTCCACAGCGTTCTCGAGACATGGGCGAGAGCAGACTCGAGTGTCTGGCGCAAAGAGCCACATGGACCAGATGATGTTTGGACGACGAGCGCCTGTGGCGTGAAAGATGGGCGTTATTGGGACTACATCCGAGGCGTTGCGCGTGAAGGCCTGTTGTAGCACAATACTCAGGTAAGGTATTGCTGAGGGCCTAAGGGGATCGTGCGTCAATGTATGAGCATGAGCCAAAGCTTGATGCACACACCTTGAACCGTTTCATGGCAAGATATCGCGCACACGTTCGGAGATATCGGATGGGGCTTTCCGCCACAAAGGTCCACCCTGAGTCCACCATCGTTTCCTGTACCGGAGCTGTCATGAGTGCCGGGCGTTGACCATGAATCTGCGGCGCAAGAGAACGGAGCTATCCGAATGTACGATGGCCGGGCCGTTGTGGTGATAGTTGACGCGTACAGTTCCCAGCGGCAACGCAGCAGGGACCTGAATCCTCGTGTCGGATGAAGGCGACCTACACTATGTCGTGAGATCGTTGTTTCTAGCTCTATACGCGTTTCCGTACATACTATTCACTAAACTGTGCGCACTAGAGGTGTCCTGTCCAGAGGGGATCGCGTAGGACTACGCCTTTGACTGAGTCCTCCTCCATATTGACTGGAGCATCGCTTTCCAGGCTTATGACGGCGCAGAACAGCTGCACATGCAGCCCGTTTGATCACCGTAAGCCTGGCCAAAGCGGTTGCGGCGTAAGTACAGGCACGGCACGAGATGGCGCTCGGGAGCAGGTGGTGGTTGAAGAGAGGTTTGATTCCTCCGAGGTGCGCGCTGTGTGTCGCCCAAGCGCGCAGGCGCTTGCTCATGGTCCTCTCATTTGACGCCGACAGTGCTGCCAATGGCCGATTAAGGTTATGCGCACACTCCATATACGCCGTAGAGCCTGCCACGCCTGTCTTTGAAGATTAAGATACGACTGCAAGACCACATCGTCGACCGTTATCGACAAACCAGAATTCCTGGGGAGGCGTTCCTTCCACGGCACATGACTTATGAGTCCAGTAGTACACAGGCACATTGGCCAACAGCAAAGTTTGGCAGTAAAGTGGCAAAATATGTGTGGACGGTGATACATGACCGCGCTCTGTAAGTTTGGTCAGTGGACGCCGGCGAAACGCAGAAGACCGAGAAGCCGTTTCGGCATCGCGCACACGTGAGTTAGAAAGAAAGCTCAAAATCTCAGTGCGCGGGCCCGGCGACACGCGTTCTGCGTCGTGAGTTTTGGTTTCATACGAGTGAATGACGCTAATTAATACATATCAGTATAATACACGCACGCCAACGTTTCAAGTGACATATCAATCCCACGTCAATCCGTGCACCCGCTGATCATACACCCGAGAATGACCACTAACCCAGAAAAGAAAAGAGACAGCACGAACCCGAACCTCATGAACTATTCCTACTCTGACTTCACTGATATGGAATACGGCTCAAATGTACTCCCAAGTAATTGGAACGATTCCCTCAGACTCATCCGCAATGGCGGTGAACGCGCCGACGGACAAGTCGAGCGAGTTCGCGTTGCCCTGGCATCCGGGGCACCTGTCCTCGACAATAGCGACCACACTTTTCCCGTTATTATTATTCGTCACGCGCACTTGGCGTGCGCAGTCGGAAACCTTCCAGCGTTGTGCCTCTGCATTATGCACGGGTCAGAATGCACGGATGGATATGGAATACAGAAAGACGAATGCGCACGTTCAGCAACGATGAAGGCGCTGTCAGGAAACCCTTGTCCGCAGGGTCCAGCGACACCACTCGGAAAGTAGTACGTCGCGCTGAAGAGCATGACTGTAAGACAGGAATATCTGCAAGAGCATAATACAAAGGTACGCACAATCCGCCAGTAATGGGTTGGCCGGCGTCTTGACGGCGGACGCTCTCTTCAGCAGGAGCAGCGAAAGCGGTGGACGCCGCAAGAGCGACAAAGACAAGAGGGAGAGCACTGAACATCTTAACGATCATGATGAATGAACTGAGTGAGGGAGGGTTTGCGGCACTGGCAACTGAGTATGAGTAGGAGAGCGTTGACATCTCCGTGTTCTTTGGTATACAACCTTTATACGATTCACAACGGGATATGGTGCGGCAAAGGGGAAGTCAGGTAGTATCGTGGCTTGCGGGCTGCTGTCCGTACAGAATCAATGACTTGAGATGCACAAGGTCAGCGTCCCGTCTATGGCGGATGATTGCACAACATCAAAACATACCTTCAAGACGATTGAATAGTCTACTCCAGTTCGCCGTCCAAAGTGCTCCCACGGCGCCCAGAACAGTCAAAGCGGGTTTACAGCTTGCAAAATCATCTGCGACGGTGCTCAGTGCGGCCATCCATAGTCTATCCAGATACAGACATGCCTCCATACTCTAGGTTCCACGTATCGATGCGATGCGAAGTGGGAAGTTATCCGGGAAGACCGCGCGGTCAGCGGGCCATGTAAGGCCAGATTGAGCGCCTAGGTGGCGCGGCATTTCGGCCGAGCGCTATTGCCGTGAGATGAATATATGTAAAGTCCCGTTCGGTTCCTCGTTAGCCTACGCAAGGCACAGATGAGGAAGAAGTCACGCACTTCCGAAACAATTGGTATACACCTGCTCTCTGAAGAGGATGCGACGCATCCTGTTGAAGTGAAGAACGTGCGTCCTGTAGCCTCGGGTTGTCGTTCTACATCATCCCTGCATGAGCCGGAGCCGACGCAGACGTCGGGAATATTGCAGACACCCGAGTACAGGGGGATCAGATAGACAGGCAATCAATAGCTGAAACGCAATGTGATATCCACGGCCAGGCAAGAGAAGCAGGCGTAATTCTTGCGCCACCAAAACAGCAGCCATGTGCGACCAGGAGTCCTTGCAATACGACCGCGAACTGTGTGCGTCGGGGACGGCTCGATGTGGTGGTGAGTTCAGCACATTTCAACCATCTCAGCCGCAGAGAAGCTCCGGATGAGCATAATCATCGTGCGCATGATACGGTGCAATGGGGGGACAGCAGCGCCAATGTCATATAAGCCGGGCTGAATACGGAGGTCGTCCACTGGATGGTGGATGGGAGCAAGCCGAGCAGACACCTTCGGGGGAACGCGCATGCACCGGCACGGGCCGATCGGACCGCCTGGCCAGATCGTGTCCGAGCGCCCTATACTCTAAGCTCTTTGCTCTTGCGCACACCGTTGGAAAATTAGCCCTTAGATCTCAGGTTCAGACTTACAATATGACATCTTCCAACCAAACGGCTGTACTTGTCAGGCGCGTCCACCGTGACTTCATTTCAAAATCATTGCACATTACGAAGGATCTCAGGGAAGCATAAGTTACGATCACGATATCTTATTTCTGCCCTATACAAAGTACAACGGTAGCAGCAACAGGCTACATGCAAGCTGGTGAGCATATAAGAACTTTATACCCAAGAATACGTCCACAGCCCAGGCTACAGAGAAAATCCGGAAGGAGGAATGGCGACGGAAGTAACTGACGCGGCGACCATGTACGCGCGCTTAGGAAAGGAATTCCCAGGTGATCGGGACGATTCCCTGGGCCTCGTCAGCGATCTGGGTGAACGCATAGACAGATAGGTCGAGTGAGTTTGGGTTTCCTTGGCATCCCTCGCAGCGATCCGCAACCACCGCGTCGACGGTCTTGCCGTTCTGCGTGTTCGTCACGCGGACCTTACGGTGACAATCAGCACCCGTGCCGTAGCGTATAGCCTCTGTAGAAGAAAACATATTTGAGATAGGTAGTGCGCGTTAGGTACGAAGGGCACGCACGTTCCGCCACGACGGCCGCATTGTCAGGGTTAGTGCCGCCACACGCGCCACGAACACCATTCTGGAAGTAGTATGTCGCTCTGTGAAGTACACAAGGTATTAGTAGGACGTTTATGTAGTAAACGTACAAGGAAATGCTTACGATCCGCCCGTAATGGGCTGTCCTATGGCCTGACGACGCTCAATCTCAGCAGCAGGAGTGGCCGAGACGGAGAGAGCCGCGACGGCAACGGCGACGAGAGTTGCGAAGTTGAACATGTCAGGAAGAATTGTGCGAGCAGAGTGCAGATTGCGAGTTTGAAAGCGGCTGAACTGGTAGAGGAGCGCTGAGGGTATTGTAGCCAAGTATCGGCGACCTTTATACATGCGCCAACTTTACGTTGGGCCGGATACCAGCCGGAATGTCCAGAGAGCCCTGGGACTTTGCTACTGAAAACAAGGGTATGGTCTCAGCGTCCCGCTTTCCTATACCACCACGACAGCTTGAGGGTCACAGTCGAGCCAACGGAAGTGTAGCATGTGCTCGGCAAAGGACGTATTGAGAGATTGAGAGGTCGAGTGTCATTGTGCTGACAACCCGCATCAAGGCGCTGGCCGGGCGATTCGGGCTACGGCTAGATTCGAAGCCGGCCGAGGAAACCTGGCTGCCTGGACCCGACGTTAGTATAAAGCACATGGATTTAGGAAAGGGCACAGTGATACTAACATTTGCTGTTGTCGGCGGTGCGAAGGAAATAGCGCGACGAGCACATGAACTCGAACGAGGCGCGATGGTTTCCTGAGCAATGCGGAACCGTCAAGCGGCTTTATGCGGGTTAGGTCCGAAAGATTCCGAAAGTGGATTTGGCCTGTCGATTGCCTAAAGCGGAGCGATGTAGACATCAGCTACTAGAGTCCTGTCAGCCCCGAGCTCCGCGCTTCAAGATGAACTGGCGTACTTGGTCCATAGAGTAGGAAACACATAGTCACCGATGCTCGGGGTCCAAAAGCCTCTGAGTGGTCTGTACGAGGAAGGGACTTCAGTATTCAAATGGCGAATATAGAGTGGGAACAGGGCGCACTGATGACAATGCATGCGTAGATATTCGAATGCGGCACTGGCCTCTCCCCTTCCTATTCGGCAATGTTCAGCGAGTGTATGTCCTGCGACAACGCCTACACTGGGCCATGAGCTCGGATCAAGGCACCGGCGAAGGCGGACGTACAGGCCATCTTCACATTCATCGCGAATCACCAGCGCTCAAAACGCTGCACAAGGGCCAGCAAGGAGGGTGGCGGGTGGTTCGAGGCCCAGAAAAGAGCGCGGATATACTGATGAAGTCCCATAGCCCCGGGTAGACCATGATCTTCAACCTCGAGGGCACCATCGTAGACCAGGTTCAGAACACATCATAGGCTTGGCACTGCTTAGCGCACGTTCGTAAGTACCAGCGCATCGTGCGTTCCGTTCTGGAGGGGGCCTAGTTTGAATGCCGCGTCGCATATCGAGGTCGCGGCTTATTCCCAGCGGTTCGGGAGCGCGGTGCAAAGCGTTTCAGCCACTGTCAGCCGGCTATGCAGCAGCGTGCTTTCCATCACGACGTTGACAGCCTGAGAGATATTCGCAAGAGGACTGTAGGGCTCCGTTGAACACGGCGGTCGGGACTAGATGATGGCGGTTGAGAGCAAGCGCGGTCCCCGGTCCCCGCAGCCCACCGGGACCACCGCATACTCACATCAAGGTCCGCCATCCGCGCGCTGCCTGCCCGGCTGCCTGTCAGACACTGGTCGCCTATTCATCTCTTCCTCAATTCGTGTGCCGCACGAGCTGAGTCCCTAGAGCCGCTCGGGCTTCATTGATCGTCCGCAACTCTCCCACAGTGGCCGACCGTATCAGGCTGGTGGTGGCCGGTGCCCTCCTGGACCTTGCATAATTTTCTCAAGCACAGTACTCATTGCGGCTGTCGCTCAACTCACGAAACATGCACGCGTTCCGCGCGCTCTACTCGGGTGACGGATGACCACAGTGCACTGCTGATTCCGAGATTCAACATGCACGGTAACTTTGGTATCACTCACTACGCTTGATGGTTCAATGAGAGCGGTACCGATAGCTCGTTAATGCTAGTGTTTGACAGTACTAATAGGATAACAAAGAAAATATATAAATGTAAATTGGCGCGTCAACGGAACGGGATAATCTATGCGTTAACGACAGACAGTCTTCCCTATGTCATGCAACTGAGCTGCAGAGGCTATCCAGAGCCTCGAGAGACTGCGCCGACCACTCTTTCCCGGTCACATTTGACTCACTAGAGCCAGCACTAGTCTTGCGCTTGCGATTGAAGGCACCGTCGCGACGCCAGAGCTTGTTGTCTCGAACAGGCCAAAGATTATAGTCGTCCGACGGCGCCGAGTAACTAGCCAACCACCATTAGTTACCGCATCATGCTGATGATAGACACACTATACGCACTCATATCCGCTTTCGAAGTAATCCCAACACCACTTGAGTTGAGGAACACGACCTTGCTCATCGCGAAGCACTGCGGCGATGACATCCAGTTCTTCCTGGCTGGCTTGGGAGAATCCTTCAACCAGATCGGTGTTTGCGTAGAGCGTAAAGATCCAGCATTCCTCCATAGTTGACCCGATGCATCGTTCAACCCTGAGAAAAGGTTGTCTGCAATGGCCCTTCAGGTAGCGCACCAGTAATGATCGAAATAGAGAGTTGCGCCCCTCGGACTCGGTGTCTTCTGGTTCGGGTTCGTCGGGATACAAATAACTGAGATCGGGATTCGGGAAGCGGGGAAGCAAGGTTCAAAGGCTTTACACAGGCATGGATCTCCGACAAGGTCAAGGGGAAGCCGAAGTATACGAGCGGGGGAGTGTACACTTGTCCACCTTCCGTGTGACCAGGTACGAATCGAGAATCGAGTTTACTGCACGGCGGGCGCCGTTCATAAAGATGGTGCTTGACCTAACGCAGCGTAACCATCAGAGTCTTTCGTGATAAGGAGGAAGCCGTGACTCGCGAGAGCGACTCACTATCATGGCAGCTTCATGCGCGCGAGTGGTGAACAAGACACCGCTGCTACCTACGAGGATCTCTCCTTTCTCATTGACCTGCTTCTCTAGTAGAGTATATGGGATGATAGGTTCACCGTCACCGAGCTTCATGGGAATGAGAGCGTTGGTAGACATGGTGAGTGAGGGGGAGGTGTGTAGCGTGACGCCGCTCTGCTACATGCAGTATAGCAGCTGACACCGAGGCTGTCGTCCCTGTGTTGATTGTCGAGATATCTACATAACGATGTATTAAGAGCAGAACGTCGCTCAACATAAGCGGGCACGTACCTCAGCTTCAACCTCTCTGCGTACTTGGTTCCGGGGCCTTGGGTTCCGCTCCTCCCTCGCTACTCCTTGAAAGACGTGCTCGGGCCGTTATCAACCTCTCTCGCCAATTCAGGAGTAATATCGATGCCGGATCGAGCGTTGGAAGTGGTTCAGCATCACCTCCGGCAGAAGGAGAGGGTGGTGCATTCGACGCGAAAATGTCACCCCGTAAGCTCGGCAAGCGAGTCGCGCTATTTGTCGCTCCCCACAGGAGGCATCAGCCACTTGATCCCAGGGCAACAGGAGATTTATATGCGGATAAAGTGACCTGACAGCGTCGCATGGTGGAAGGGACAGCTTGGGGTTCACTTGCCTCGTATCATCCGCGTATTGTCTGCGTGTTGTCCCGGACAAAACGCTTTGTTTGCGCTGTGAAGGGGCTCAGTGGACACGAGGCGGGGAACGTGTACTATCGTCCACGTTTTGTCCGTCTGCTCAAAGGGCAATGCGTTTTGTCCGGGACAAAACATATCATCTTGTCCGCCTCATGGCCGGGCGAGCCGCGTGCCCAAAACAAAGGGTTTTCGCCTAAGCGTATCCGGGAGACGATCTCCCTCGATCCAATCGTTTGCGCCACATCTGAGCTCGCCTAGCTTTGTACTGGTGTAGGTCGTTTGGTCTTCGAGTCTAACACCTTTGAGCCCGCATATCACGGCCTGATGCCTCCTGTGCCCGACATAAGGTTTTCAACAGCTGGGCAACCACGAGGTAGTAGCGTACTGCGCTCTACCTCCAGCTCTAAGATCCGCGGCCAAGCAGGTGGATAGTAGAGAAAGCATTCGCCAGTCCAAAAGCGGATGGTGGTTAGAAGCAAGTCTTGGCCTTCCAGGCCCTTCCCCGCGTCCGGCCGACCAACACCTGTTAGGCGCTCACTGTGACCGAGCCACAGGGAAATACGATAGCGGTACTAGATGTAGAGCGATAGCGGGTGCTACAGATACAAATTGAAGCGGTGCGAAGTGCACGAGTACACTAGCCATTGTATACAGTCCCTTTTTCGTCTTCAGATGGGATCCTAGCTGTCAGTATATAGCAACATGACATTGGGTATATAATACAGCTAGCGGTCTCAGCAGAAATGCAGCTGACCCAGTTCATCCCGAGTTGCGGGGGGTTGCCCGTCTCGATACGCTCAGTGCGTGTGAGAGACTGTGGGAGACCGCTAATACGCCTGATCGCCTCTCGTATCAATGGTGCGTCTAGCTTTCCCTTCATCAGGCGATCGATTGTTAAATTGAGTCCTCCATCTACTGTTCTCCGCTGCAGGCCAAGGATTGAAAGCGTCATCGGGCGCAGAGTATCTGTTTGAAGGGTATCGGTCAGTAGACTATGTATACTGATGGAATCTGTGACTTTCTCACCCAAGCCCACACCATTTGGCATCCCAGTACCAGTTCAGGTGCTCATCAGGGTCATAGCTTTTCGAACGTAAGAAATCGCAGAGCTTGCTCATGACCTCCCGGCGTCTGTCCTCGTCAGTGCTCCAGTCGTTGGAGCCCTTCGAGTAGTTGGTATATAACGATATGACCACACGCACACCCTTGGGCGTCAAGCACTCGCTCGCCGCAAACCCTTGGCCGGTCTTGAATCCCAGAACGAGCAACAAACGGTCTCGCAGCGCGTCCTTTTCCACAATATTCACACGTGGGTGTGAGCGTGACTTGCTCAACTTCGCCAAGGTCGGTTTATAAGGCATAGACGGAGAGTGCAAGTAATTGTGGCGCCTTAGCAAAGCGATGACTTGCGTCCAGGTCATGGCGAAGCCGAAATGCATCAGCGGTGGCCGCTGCTGGCCCTCTCCGACGCATGTATCGGGGTCAAAGTCTCCAAGAAGCTCTTTCTGCGGCAGACGTATATCCAGGAGTTTCCGCATGACCTACGCGTGGTGTCAGAACCAGAGCAGTGGAGGAGTGAGTAGAATGGCGGCGTACAACACCTCGCGCTTTGTTCACGTATTTAACCGCACTGTCAGTCGCTTCGTTCACAGGCGGAGGTCGTAGCATCTCGGGCGTGACCGCGGTGAGAATACCATTGACCTTCATCATAGGAGTAGAACTCAGATGCGAAGACATAACGGCCCGTCTCGGGATCGCTGGGGGGAAATAGGCGAAGGAGGGGTTGTCGGCGAGGGAGGCAACGTGGTGAGTCGTGATGGTGGTGGTTCAGGTTGTGCACGTAAAAGCGCAAGAAGACTTGGCAGGCTCCTTTGATATAGGTGGCTTGATTTTAGGTCGACGCAGAGCTAAGAGGTGACGATGGCATGAGCACCTTGAGTACAATGAGCTGTATAGGACGCACCAGTGCTTGGCCCACAAAGCTCCGCTCGTCCAGATTCCACCTCTAACCGCCTTGGACCCATTGCCCAGTAATCGGTCTATCCCGCGCCTCGTACAACTCCTTGGTCGGATGTCGCTTACGTGCCGGGTAGAAGCGCTACACAGCTCTCGGTCGTAGCCCGAGAGGCAACGGGGAAGTCGGCATCCGTCGCGACGCGTTGAAGGTGTAGAGCGCATAATGCCCCTGCCTTTCATTCTTCAGAGCTTCAGAGCCACAATTACGCTTAGGATCACGATTGCATCAATCGATATTGTAGGGGAGGTATTGGAGGCACAGACGCCATCGTGGTTGGGAGTTAAGCGCAACGCGTGTTGTTGATGGAGCAAATGGGACTTGCTCTTGACCATCACCGCCCTCGCACGCTTGATTTGCACCTCTACTTAGCTCTACTTCCGGCTCCCAAGCGATCTGCCCGAGTTGTTGGGCTCACAAAGGATCCGGCACATGAGAGCGATGAGAATGAGAGGCTGCTGGACATCTATCGGGTGCGTGACACCTTATTGTCCTCTGACCGCGAGAGACGTACTGACTTCAACTACAGTTTATCGTGATACTACATGAACCAGACCGTCAAGTAGACAACGTGTAAGAGACTGTATAGGAGAAGCCATGGGTCAGCGATACTACAGAAGGGCTCAGTGCGCGTATTCCGCCGGCCACTCGTCATCCATTTCTAGAAGAGCGACGTCCCCGTTCTTCTGGGTCGTGCGTTTCCAGTGACCGAGAAGAAGTACAATGTTTGGTGCCCGAGTAATAAACTCTCTTGATGCCCTTGAGGTACTCTTCGTCGGACCAGATATTGAACTCCGGCCACGGAGCGGAATACCTGTCGTGCCACATCAGGCGTGACCAACAGCGCTACGAGAAAGAACGTACTTCCAGCCGCAGATCTCAAGGTCCCAATACCACTTAACGCTTAGATCGTGCGTAGCCCGAGGCTCTTCTGGAGTACAGCAGTGAGGCGGTCAAGTGCTTCTTCTTCGGCAGGATGATCGTAGTTCGAATACAGACTCAGGACCCGGATTTGCTTGGTGCCATCGGAAGAGTCCGCGATTGTAGTGGTTTCGGGGAACCTTTTGAAGTTCTTCAAATGGCGGCTCAATCTATCGCGGGTGCGAATGAGGTAGTACGAGTCGCGCTTTTGATCCTCCTCCGAAGGTATGTCATCGTCCTCCTCGTCTCCCCCTGGTGTTGGCTTATAGATCACAGGAGCGACCCGTAGTGCTTCGGCACACTTCACCAATTCCTCGTCGGTCAGAGGTATCCCGTAACGCATAACAGGGATGTCGCGATCTTCCAACTGGTGATCGAACCGAGGTTCCAGGGGGTATTGTGGACGACGCAGCCGGTATAGACGATCCAGGACCTTTGACACTAGATTTAGCGGTGCAGAAATCCATGTAAAGAACTCAAATTACCGCAAGTTTCGCCACTTTGGCGCGTTCCGAGGGCATGACTGTAGCGCCTGCCCGTAAGCAGAGCCACGCCGGAGAACCCGGGGAGCGGTACGCGAGTGGCTGGTGGTGCAAAGGCGTCCATGAAGGACCACCCGTGCGTTCCGAGACCCGAACGGCCCGGATAAGGAGGTGCACAGCGTAAGAGCCGCGCTGGAGCGAGTACGGGACAACCGCGTCCCGTACCGCGTACACGAGGCGACTGCGCCTGTGCAAAAGAGGAGAGTGACGGCGGGCGGCACGAGCACCCGTCCGAGGCGTAGAGGGCGGCCGGCGTCACGAGCGACGGTCCGCGCGATGGAGAAAGGTCCTCCCGAGTCGAGCCCGACCCGGGAGTTGCTGAGGTCGAAGCGAGGGCTTCTTGAGGCACGAGTCGAGAGGAAAAGAAATAGATTGAGACGAGACGAGAGACGAGACGAGAGAGACGAGACGAGAGAGGAAGAAAGAGAAAAGAGAAAAGGAAAAGAGATAGAGTTGGTGGTTTGTGTAGTTGGTGGTCAGAGCGAACGCGCGACGCGCGACTACATACGAACGTAACCCTAACGTAGGGGTAGTCGCCGAATGGGCGCGACAGCATAGTAAGTACGTAGCTACTATGTACAGTAGATACCGGTTACAATGACGCCTTGGTGTTTACCATCTTCAATGACGGGCTCGCGGTGGTACAGCGTCTGGGGAGTAACACGCTCGGTCTCTCCGTCGAGAGTCATGTGCAGGGGCTCATGCATATGGATAGCTGACATGAGGGAAGCAACAAAAGCAGATGTGCACGGTGACCTGGACTCCGCTACTAGCAGCCACGTATATAAGAGCGACATTACGGAAGCCGGGATCAGCGGCGGGATCGAGGATTGCTTGCATGAACGTGATGGCGGTCGAGAATGAATCACGCGCTATCCACGCAGACAACGAGCATGCAACGGCCTAAGCGCTAAGTGGTTGGCCGTGTGCTATTTATTGATAACGGGTTTCAGTCGTTGCAGGTACATTGGCAATCTCACGAGTCAGTATTATGCACAGTGGCTCTAGTATTACTCACTACGCCTCACTGTGATTCAACGAAAGCAGCACTGATGACATGAGCTTGTGAATGCTAGCATTTGATGGTATTGAGAGGATAACAAAGAAGATATATAAATGGAACTTGGCGCGTCTACGGAACGGAATGATCTATGTGTTGACGACAGACAATCTTCCCTACGTCATGCGACTGAGTTGCAGAGGGTATCCAGACAGACTGTGCCGAACATTCTTTCCCGGTCACATTTGACTCAGTAGAGCCACCACTAGTCTTGCGCTTGCGATTGAAGGCACCGTCGCGACGCCAGAGCTTGTTGTCTCGGACTGGCCAAAGATTATAGTCGTCCCACGGCGCCGAGTAACTAGCCAACCACTATTAGTTACCGCATCATGCTGACGATAGACACACTATACGCACTCATATCCGCTTTCGTAGTAATCCCAACACCACTTGGTTTGGGGGACACAACCTTGCTCATCGCGAAGCACTGCGGCGATAACATCCAGTTCTTCCTGGCTGGCTTGGGAGAATCCTTCAATCAGATCGGTGTTTGCGTAGAGCGTAAAGATCCAGCATTCCTCCATAGTTGATCCGATGCATCGTTCAACCCTGAGAAAAGGTTGTCTGCAACGGTCCTTCAGGTAGCGCACCAGTAATGATCGAAATAGAGAGTTGCGCCCCTCGGACTCGGTTTCTTCTGGTTCGGGTTCGTCGGGATACAGATCACTGAGATCGGGAAGCGAGGGAGCAAGATTCAAACGCTTTACGCAGGCATGGATCTCCGACAAGGTCAAGGGGAAGCCGAAGTATACGAGCGGGGGAGTGTACACTTGTCCGCCTTCCGTGTGACCAGGTACGAATCGAGGATCGAGTTTACTGCATGGCGGGCGCCGTTCATAAAGATGGCGCTTGACCTAACGCAGCGTAACAATTAGAATCCTTGTGATGAGGGGGAAACCGTAACTCGCGAGAGCGACTCACTATCATGGCAGCTTCATGCGCGCGAGCGGTGAATAAGACACCGCTGCTACCTACGAGGATCTCTCCTTTTTCGTTGACCCGCTTCTCCAGTAGGGTATATGGGGTAATAGGTTCACCGTCAGAGAGCTTCATGGGAATGAAAGAGTTGGAAGACAGGGTGAGTGAGTGAGCTGTGTTGCGTGACATCGTTTTGAGCGACCCGCGGTATATGTAGGAGAGCCAATTAGCAAAGCCGGGGAGTATACGAGGTCGTGAAGCACGTACATCTGCGGGTGCGGTGCGTTTGAAACCTAGGAGTCGGACCGCACTCAATGTACTGTCAGCATGAGCCTGGACTACTTTTGGCATTACCGGTCGAGTAGATTCTATCTGGTGGTCAGGGGCGGGTGGTGGCAAGACGGAGGGAGAGGCGAACGACCACGATCAGCGGGTGGCCGAGGTCCGGACCGAGTTTGGTTTCTCACCGCACAGCAAGCATTCACGCGCGGACTTGAAGACGACTGCAAGTTCGGCACTGATTTGTTACAAGCGAGATGCCATTAAATCTCTCCGAGGAGTTCATCGGAAGACAGCCATCCATGGGATCACGCAGTACTCAGCTTACGGCACACGTGACAGTTCGTTTTGAACAGCTTCTTGACGCGCGCACGTGAGTTGCCAGCGCGTCACGGCAGCCCATTGGGTACCGTGTTCAGACAGCGAGGTTCAAACAACAACATGACGTTAAATATATGTTACAGTCAGAGATCGTAGCAAGGATCAGATGGACAGTCCCTTCTATAGTGCGGGGAGATCGCCACCTCGAAGAAGCTGATACATTCAGTGCGCATGAGAGTCCACTAATACAAATAATTGCCTTTCGCGTCCAAAGTGCGTCTGGCCCTCCCTTCGTCGGGTGAGCGATCATCGAAATGGGTCCTCCATCTACCATTATCCGCCGCAGGCCAAGGATTATAAGTGTCATTCGGTGCGGAGTATCTGTTTCAGGGTAGAAGTTAGCAAACCAGATGCCCCAACGTGAGGTATGCATCACTGACCCAAGCCCGCACCATCTCGCATCCCAGTACCAGCTGAGGTGCTTATCCGCATCGTAGGTCTTCGACTGCAGGAAGTCGCGAACCGCATTCACAACCTCCCGATGTCTGTTCTCATCCGCGCTCCACTCGTCTAAACCCTTCGAGTAGTTCGTATACAGAGATATGACAACGCACACTCCCTTGGGGGTCAGACACTCATTCAACGAGAACTCTATGTGCGTCTTGAACGCTATAGCCATCAGAAGATGGTCTCGCAGCCTGGTCTTGTCCGCGAGTCCCAGATGACGGTGTAAATCTTTGGTTTTTAGCTTCGGGTTGAACGCTATGGACTTCAGAGCGTCATGGCGCTTTAGACACGCAATCACTTGTTTCCAGGACATGGCGAAGCCGAAGTGCATCAGCGGTGGTTCCTTCTGGCCCTCACCGATCCATGTATTGGAATCGAATGTCAGGTCCTCGGGAAGCTCTTTCTGCGGGAGACGTATGTCCAGAAGAGTCCGTACAGTCTGAAAGCGATGTTAGAGTGCTAGAAAAGTAGTGTCTGAAGTAGCGGCATACAGCAGCTCGGGCGTCTTTGACGGATTTGACCACGTCGTCGGTGAGCGGTTCCTCAGAGGAGGCGCGTAACATGTCTGGCGTGACGGTGGTGAGAGCGCCGTTGACGTTCATCGTGGGAGGGGAAGGTGATGCCATGAGGGATGGATGGGTGCAACTGAGATGATGGAGGTCTGGCCGTTGCCGTTGCGAATATATAGGGTCTTCGGCGATTGCCGATGTTCAGGCACAACAATCGGGTTTCGCGCTCGCTGCGAGTTGCTGAACACTCTCTCAACCACCATGAACGCGACCTTTCCCGTGTTTACCCTTGTTCTGAATAGAGATGTTGAGCTACGAAGAACAAGGCTACAATGTGATACAAACAACTCGGGCGCGCTATCCGGGCTGTGCGTTCTCACAATAGTCAGCGACGGCCACCTGCAACATAATGGCTCTGAACGGCTGGCCCCTGCGCAGCACTCACAGCCTCTACCTCAGTGCTTCTACGGTGGAGCAGAGGCGCGGCTGCTAGAACGAACAAGGCGATTCCTTGTGATCCAGAAGACCAGCAGGACACGCTGCCAACACGAGTCTATTGTTCTAACCCGCGAGATGATTCTTGCAGTACCGACGTGAATAGTCCCCTTCGTCACCCTTTTTTCAACCTTGCGATTCTTCTTCCCAATGAGGCATCTTGTTTGTACTTCTCGGCCATACTCTTGCTCCGACGATGGGAGAATATCCCCAGAGATATTCACCATAGGCTATATAAGTCAGTCAACCACTCAGTCCTCGATCATCATCACCACCCACTCTACGCTCAGAACCTCACCATCGAACAGCACACTTCTCAAATCGTCTGATCTTATCTCAGTACTCTCTTGGTGCCAATGGCGGACAACGAACTTGGGTTTATGCAGCGCTTCAAGGCCTCCTTCTCCAGAGAGCTGCGCGCGGCCTATCGATATGCTCTGCAACCCTCGAGGGCTGGTCGCCCTGCATACGAAGCGGTATCCTACGGGCTCATCAACGTCGTCATTACCCAACACTGCAGGGAGATGGTCTTGGCCCGCGACGCCGCGTCAGACACGTTGACCATCACGGTCCCGCAAGGGCGGGTAGAGAAGGTTAAAAGCTACCGTATTCCCGACTTCTTCGTTCAGTTCATGAAGGATACCCCCGGGCCGCGGGAGTACATGTACTTCTGGGAAGTCAAACGACCCGTTCTCTTGGATGCGGCAGAATCCGAGGTTGCCGACGAGGACTGGGCCACCGGCGAAGTTAGCCCCATAGAGGAGGAGGACGAAGAGGACGAAGAGGAGGACGAAGAAGAAGAGAAGGACGACGAAGAAGAGGAGGAGGACGGAGGCGGGAAGGAGGAAGACGAGGTGAAGGACGACGACGACGTGAGGGGAGAGGGCGACGACGGCGAGGGCGAAGGCGACGAGGGTGGCGGCGGCGACGAGGAGGAGGACGACGAGGGCAATCGCGAGGAGGAACCACCGACTTTTGAAGATCAGTTCATTCAGGAGTACGAGAAACTTTACGACAGCGAGATCTATAAGCAGATCCGTCAGCAAGCCGAGCACACCTTCTCTCAAGAGGTCGAACAGGATTTCGTCTTCATTTTCAGCTCCTCTGGCGGCTACTTTTCCTTGACCGTGTTCATGAAGAACAGTGGTGACGACGGCGCAGAAGCCAGACGCGCACGCCTGAATGAGTATTGGGCATGGCGACCGGTGGTGGAGGCGCACACAACGGCTTTTCATACCGCACGAGTCCAGAAAATCGAGGAGGGCGCCGCCAAGGACAGCTTCTGGAAGACGTTAGATCCCGAGGAGAAGGATGCACGTTTGGGTCCTGTCAAAGATACGTTGCAGCAGGCGTACGATAATCGACACGAGATCGTGTACCACGCGACCGAGATGTTTGAGGATATCTCCGGCAATATGCGGCCAAGCGTATGGCTCGTCCACGCCCTCAGTATCGTCCAGAAAGCTAGCGGCTTTGTTATCCCGGCTGGATCGCTCCAGGATGAGTGGTCACACTTCTCGACAGACGACGTCCCGGCGCCGGTTCTCGATGAAGCAGCTCTGGTATGTTCTGCCTCATACGTTGCTGTCTACACGGATACGAAGCTGATTTTCATTAGACGCGTATAAAGGGCGGTGCGCTACCTTACACGGTCAGAGATGCATTCACCCAGTTCGAAAATATGATTCGTCCGCCATTGACCAATTCGAGGGAGGGTTCTAGGTCCAAGAGGCCCACGCCCAGGGGCTCAGGTGCCCAGACGCCTCTATTAGGCGGAGATCTAGGGCCAGCGGGTGGAACTCGTAGGCAGGCTGCGAGACAGGCGGGAGGACCCGAGATGGACGAGTTAGCCCGGCGCATGGGTGAGCTGCGTACCGAGGGCTTGCGTCGATCTACCAGGGTCACTGCCGCTGGCACGTCCACACGCGATTCCTCGGGGTCGCCGGCTCCTAACCGAGGCGGGCGTTGAAAGGGGAACGAGAGCACGACTCTCAGTCGTGGACAAGGACTTGCCCGTGTTGAAACTTGAATTACAGAATGACTGTGACCCGATATGCTGTATCATGACCAAAGAATGACTTCGTCTTGTCTGTATCTATTCGCGCGTGTAAGATATGAAGTTGTTTGTTGTTTGTGCGCAGTGAACATCTATGGCGAGAGAGATGAGAGCGGATGGAGGCGGTTTGAGCTCAACCCGGGCGAACGTCGCCGAGATACGAACTGGATTGATCAGGACTTCAATGTCCTGAACGCGCCTCTGGAGATACATCGTTAAACGTCCTTCTCCAATGACTATTCTCTTCGACGGGCCACAAGTTGAACTCATCCCAAGGCGCCGAATACCTGTAGTAGACGTAAGCCAAGTAGAAACAGAACGTTCAAGTGAACAATACGTACCCATACCCGCACCTCTCGACGTCCCAGTGCCACCCAACCCTCGGAACCCTCCCCTCATATCCCTCGAAGCCCCTCTTCATCTCCTCCACAATCGCCTTGATACTCTCGAGCCTGTACCGCTTCGCGCGCTCGCGCTTAAACACCACATCATAGTTCGAGAACAGAATGAAGTAGGTTAAGTGTTCGGGGTGATATGCTTCTTCAACAGCGATAGAGCGGCTTAGGACGTTGCCTCGGCATTCGAGATAGCTGCGCATGCAGGTTTGCACGAGGCCTAGATGGCCCGAGTTGTACTTGCTGGTTGTACCGACTGGCACGCCGTCTCGGTATACATCACAAGACGGGTCCACTCCGAACGTTTCGGCGCAGTAGAGCATTTCATCGGAGGTGAGAGCGTAGCCGTAGTTCATGATGGGGACCTGGACTGGGCTGGTCGATGAGGGAATGAACCGGTCGTCTAGTTTGCGCATGGCGGGGCGAAGCTCTGCGAGGCGCGCGTAGATCTGCGCGCATAGTATCAGTCTAAGCGAAGTCAGAATGCAAGTCCACCGCACACGTACCTCGGCTCGTACCCTCTTGCGCAAATCCTGGATCCTGATTCCCGCTTTCTTGGCGATTTCTTTAGTGGACGCACTCGGTCCTGCGTCGAATTCGCCCAGCACATCGAGCGTGATATCGACGTAGACGTCCTTCTCGAGAGCAAGTCTGGGAACCGAGGCTTCTAAAGCCATAGTGGGCTAGAAGTGGAGAGGGCCATATAAGATAGAAATCAAAGTGCTCTTATATTGCGTTCATGGTGGTTGTGGGCCACACCGCCGCGCGCGGCCGAGCGTGTGGACGGACCGAAATGATCCGGACACCGGGCACACGCCTCTATGAGGCTATCACTCAGCACTACACCAACGGCCCTCGCACACCTCCAGGGGTGACCCGGAGCTTTGGGTATGGTCATAGATACAATACGGATAGGCAATACAGGCTTATGAGTACAGCTTAGATCGGTCACAAAAGCAGGATTCAGTCGACGTCCAGGCTCTGCAATAGCGGTGAATCGTAATGAATGAGAGCGATTGGACGCGTACGTCTATGACAGGAGTACGTCCTTCGTCCTCGCAGTCTAAACTTGTACACTATCGTCGGCAATCTCGGCCAACTTGTCTTCGGAGTGGTCGTAAAGCGCAAGCAGACGCCGGCGCTTAGACTCTGTGTGATCTGGGTTCTTCTTCTCGAGGACCCAGAAGCTCCGCGGCCAGCCGCCAGCGATCTCATGTGCAGGCCAGACGTTGTAGGCGTCCCACGGAGAAGAGTATCTAGACCGTGAGATATAGCGGTAGTATCCTGCAGCTATAAGAGCATTCTCACCTACCCAATGCCGCACAAGTCGTAGTCCCAGTACCACGCGCCGATTGCGTCCAGCTTCTTGATAATGTTCCGGAACGCGGTGACCTCTTTGATAGCGCGACCGGCGTCGTAGTTCAGATTCGAATACGACGTGAGAACCCAGATCTTGTCGTGCGTGTTCAGGCACTCCACGACTTTCAAGGCCGGGACGCCGCACGTCTCTTGCAGATGCTGCAAAAGCCGATCCCTCGTTTCCATCTGCACGGAGTCCAACTCCATGTACTCCTCGCTCGACACCACGTACTCGGGCGGCGTGTCCGGATCGGGCTTCGGTGCGCACCCGAAGGCGTGGGCATAGTCCCGCACGTCTCGCATAGACAGCGCGACGCCGAAGTGCAGAAGCGGACGTTCGAACGTCGGTCCCTCGCCGCTGACGACCCTCTCCGGTTCGAGCTGCGCAAAGGGCGTGCGCCTTTCGTGAAGGATACGAAGGACCTGATCGGCGTTCAAGACACTCGTCAGAATTGGCGCAATGGAATAGGCAGCGCTGGCTCGTGACAGACCTCTTGACGCGCCTCGCGCGCTCTGGCATCGATATCGTCAGCCTGATCTTCATCTTGATCCAGGGCTTCTTGCGCAGCGGAGCCCAAAAGCATCTCTGGGACGATGAAGATGTCGGTATTGGGTAAAGTGGGGAGAGGATCCATGATGGGCGAGTCTGATTTATGACTATGAGCTGTCGTGTTGTCGTAGACGCCTTTATATTCATTAGCTCGGAAATTGCCGACAGCGCCGTCGATCAGCGAGCTGGTTTGTGCTCCGTCTTTCTTCTGTATCACACTATCAACATCATTGGTGAGCAGATGTCCGCTTTCCTGCCGCCTACGAAGAAACTCACACGTCGTTCGGCTTTCAGGCGGAGAATACGAGAGTCGTCCAGTACTGGACCAACGATTCTATGAGATACGCGTATGCCAAGCTGAAACACCGCAGTCCACAGCCGCTACCGGGCACACGCCCAATAGTTCCAGCACCCGCCAACCCCGCCGCGGCGCATGGACATGACACCCGCGCGAAGGCACCGGTCGCTGGAGGCGGAGGAGCATAATCTTAGGACGACCAGTAGACGAAGAGTGCCGTAGGCGTCCAAAGCCGGACGTGATAGGCGCGGTCGCTGACGGTCGATGGCCGGGACAGTAGAAATGGTGGTTCGGAACAGACCTGCGCAACTGCCAACCGCCGGACGCGATCACGGTTGTGGCGATCGCAACACGGCCCGAGTCGGCCGATGTTGTTGTGAGCTGAACGCCAGTAAGTAAGTAAGTAAGTAAGTAAGTTGCACCCGTTGCGTCACGTCAACGCTGGGTGTTTTCAGGACCGTATCACGCGTGTTGCCACGCGCTGCCTGACAACCTGTATGTCCAGAGTTCAGCAGTTCGTTGGGATGCTGCAGGTAAATCTTTAGGCCCTACGCAGCCCGTCTCTGTACTAGATTCACGCACAGCAGGTTTATCCCACATCGTGCACTCTATCTAGATTTACATGCACTGTACAATATAGCCACATTTATCCAAAAGAACTTCTCATCTCCAGTGCAGTCTAGCAGGCTGGCATCCTTCCCCGCCCGCGCCTTGCCCACACCTCAGGCCTCAGGCTTAAAGCCTTAAGCACCCTCCTTCTCAATCTCCTCCAGCGCCCCCGCAAACCGCTCCCAGCCCTCAATAACCTTCACGACCCCGACACCCCCCAGCATCTCCTTCGCCTCCTCCCTCTCCCGACCCTCCTCATAAACGCCCGCATACCCAACCAACCTGATCCCTGCCCTAACAGCCGCCGTCGCACCGCTCTTACTGTCCTCCACCGCGACCGCTCGCGAGGCATCAGTACCGAGATCGCGCAGGGCGTGCAGGTACACCGCGGGGTCGGGTTTAGACGTGGGCGTGGGGAGCGAGGTGATTGCGCTGTAGATGTGGTTCGGGGCGAAGAAGGGCGAGAGGCCTGCGCGTTCCAGAGATGCGACGACGCGCGGCAACGCACTCGAAGAGACGACCGCGAGCGTATAGTTTCCTAGAGACTGGAGGCGTTGCAGGACGGGGAGGACGCCGCGGCAGGGCTCGGCGTCGCGCTTCAGTGCAGCAGTCACAGCGTCGAGCTCGCGCGCGACGTATCTGCGAGCGGAAAGCCGTCAGCGGCGGGTCGCAGGTGCGATGAGAGAGATTGGAGGGTAGTGGGCGAAGGAGAACAGCGCACTTATCAAGCTCATCCCCCGGCAGCTCGAACCCGTACTTCTCACACAGCGAGATCAGCATCCCGCGGAAGTTCTGCCCCACGAACGTCCGTTGGAGCGTCGGCCCGTCGAACCTGCGCTTCGAGTTAGCGCGCTCTCTTCCACCAGTCACTGCACATAGCAAGCCGCAGTGTAGACGATTCGGAAAGGACGGGCAGGGGAAGGGATATGAAGATGAGTATGAATAGGAGGTGAAGGGAGAGGGAGAGGGAAGCAGGAAGAGAGAAGGGAGGTGAATGGGGAGAAGGGAGCGCACCGATCAGCAACCTCCGGCTTCCACCTCTCGAGCACCTCGTTCGCGAGCTCCGCGCACGCCGCGAACGCGATGTGCTCGGACAGAACGAGCGTGTTGTCGCAGTCGAACAGGATGTGCGTGATCTGCGCCGGTCTCCATCAGCGTTCTGTACTCTGTATGCTTTATATACTCTATGCAAGCGGGCGTACCTTGGGCATGTCTGGTATTCGAGCGCTTATCGTATGGGGAGTAGTCGTGGTAGGTGGTGGATATAGAGTGAGATGGCTATGGGCGCTAGGAAGGCGCCGGCGGCAGTGGGCTCGGGGTGCCCATCACCGTCGAGATCAGGCTAGGCGCGTCATGGCCGGCGCCACAACGCCCCAGGCACGCTCGACGCCGCGCGCTCACCAACTTGCGACAACCGGCGCGGGCTCGACTCACACGACTGGGGTGTATCGAAACAGAGAGTCCATGGTCATTATAGTCATAAAAGGTAGTACAGATTTGGTTTATGGGCTTGAGAGATCTGCAGGGAAGAAATGGTGGAGGGGAAGGATAGCGACGATTCGAACAACGACATGTACAAGTGAAGAGATAGGCAGAGCGGGGAGAGTCCAAGGAGAGCGAACATGGAATGATAAAAACATAACTAGAGCCAACAACGAACACAACAGCCCCATCTAATACGCCGCCTCCCCAAACATCTCCTCCAGCCCCTCAACCCGCACATTCCACCTCCACCGTCCCTCCCCAAACCCCCTCGCCGTATCCTCCAACACAATCTCGTTCCTGCGCGCCACATAAACAGCCTTATCCGTGACCCTCTGCCTCAGCTCGCGCATCCCGTCCGAATCCGGCTCGAGCGGCAGCTCCAACAACTCGGATAAGTCTTCGACGGCGCGCTCGAGATCGCGCTGGTTGTCCTCGAACATCTCCTTCTCGTTGCCCTTGGAGAGGTAGTACGCCATCGCGTACGTCCATTTGAGCGTTGCACGACACCGGACGACATCGTCGACAGCCTTCTTCAAGAACTGCACCTCGATCCACGTCAGCTGCGTGTTCGCCTGCACCTCCTCCATCTTCTTCTCCGTCTTCGCGTACAGCTCGACCGACAATTTCGCGCTCTGCTCGTGGTTCGCCCAGCGGTTGTAGTAGTGCAGGTAGCGCTCGAGAGAAGCTCGGGAACGGGACTGCGCGTCGCGCGCCTCGAGGCCTGATTTCTCGTCGAAGCGGTTGCAGGAGTACCATGCCGTGCCGTGCTCTTGCCAGGAGCCCATGCAGACCCAGCAGAACTCGTGTTTGCATTTCTTGCACGTCATATGACTACCCCCTCATCAGCACATCCGCGTGAAGGCGAGATACGGAGGGGAGGGGGAGGGAGGAGGAAAAAGAAAAGCACGCACTTGCATCCCCCGTTCTTCTCGATCGTGCTCTGGCACTTCGCGCACTCCTTCGTATTGCTCTTGATCCAGTTCGCCGTCTCGCTGTCGTCCCGGCACTTCTGCAGCCACAGCTTCGCCACCGCGCACAGCAGCGGCCGGTGATCGCTCTCGATATTACATCCGATTCCGAAGCAAAATTGGTGCGAGGGCGAGGCGGCGCATGTTACGGCGGGGACGATGGTGGATAGGGAGGACTTGGTGGAGGCGGCGGGGCAGCGGATGGCGTGGGTGCATTCGGGGTAGGGGCAGAATTTGAGCGCGCGCGCGGCGTCGACGTAGTCCCGGATTATCAGCTCTTTATAACGACTAGCCGTGCGCGCGTCCGAAGGAGAGGAGAGGACGGAGAGAACGAAGGAGTCCGGCGCAACGACCGCGCAGCCCTCGGCCATACACGCAATCCTGTGCTCGCCCTCCTCGCGGATCTTGGACGTCGCGTACGCGTTCCAGCACCCGCTGCAGAACGCGTGGCCGCAGACCAGGGCGAGCGTTGAGGGCGCGGTGTCGTCGAAGCAGATCTGGCAGAGGTCGCCGGGCGAGGAGGGCGGGGGCGGGTGCTTGATGCCGCGGATTGACGGGGGTTTGACGGGGGATATTTTGAGGGGTGTGAGGCCGGCAGCGGAGGAGAGTTTGGTGGGGTTGTCGATGTAGGCTTCGATCGTGGGCTCAGTCTTCCAGGACATGTGGCGCAGCAGGAGCGCCGCCGCGTCGTTCTACAGTAGATATCGCGTCAGCAAGCCTATATCGCATGATCTGTAGTAGAGCAGCTTACGGAGACCTGACAGATATCCGCGACCTTCGCGATATCGGCCTGCATGAGCCGCTCGAGCTCCTCCGGCCCCAGATCGGTGTAGTCGACTTCGTACGACTTCTTCTTGCCCTTTGAGCTCTCGATCAGCATGCTCCCGCCCAGCCCGTCCAGGTCCATGTCGTCTTCTGGGTCTGTGTCAGCCGTGCCTGCATTCACAACGGCTTGTTAGTATATCGCACAAGACAAGGGAGCGGGGGAAGGGCGAACCGTCCTCGAGCATGTCCTCGTCCTCGTCGTAGTACTCTTCGTCGCTGTAGTCGGACATTGTGGAGTGAGACTAGACTAGGATAGGATGATGGTGGTGTGGAGGGTGGGTGAGGGGGGGTGGGGGC